AGAGTCAGTGGGATGGCATGTGCCCACTTCAGAACCAGGAAACCTGCCTCCACTCACCCCATTAAAGTCCTCGCTGTTCTGGAAAAAAAGAAAAAAAGTTTTTGGGCCAAACCAAGAAGTGGGGTGTTTTGTTTTGATGGAGAAATGGTTTTTTTTTTTTTTTCTTATATAGCGTGAAGTGGACCAGGTGTGATCCTCAGCACCGCCTATGGGCCCCTGAGCATCAGCAGGAGTGATCTCTGAGCACAGAGACAAGATTAAGCTCTGAGCATTGTTGGGTATGGCTCCAAAGCCCAATAGCAGTAGTAATAATAAAAAGGCAAAAATGCATTTGGGGGGATGGTGGGGTCTCCCAAACAGTGCCTGGCATGTGCAATGCATACTTACCATCCCTTTGAACTATCTCCCTGTCCCTAGGTTTTTTTAAATAGGGGCCAGCCACCAGAGTGCTGAGTGAAAGAAACCAAGGTCACCCCCTCCAAGACTCAGCTCTATGCAGGTCAGCATATGGGATGCTGGGAATTGAACCTGGGTCAGCTGCCTGCAAGGCAAATGCCCTACCTGCTGTACTATTGCTCCAGCCCTACCAAATTACTTTTTTTCCCTTTTCTTTTTTGGTTTTTGGACCATACCTGGTAGTACTCAAAATCAGACACAAAACCTGACTTCAGTCTGCTTATTACGGATGTAAACTGGTAATTCAAGAGTGCTATGAAGTGCTATGAGGGAGCCAACTAGTTTAGAAAAGAGGATTTTGCATAATCTTGATTCTCAGGTCTGAAATTAGTGAATGAGTGATTAGAGACTATTAGATTCCAAGTTACCATACACCTGGTAGGTAATCTGATGTGGCCTCATTGCCTAACCCTGTTAAAAGCATATCAAATCAATCATAATGATAGATTTTTTTCAAATGCCTCTGCCTAGGGTTTCCCATTGTTGGGTGCCTTCGTTTCTCACGGGAGCAGGAGGGGCATACCTAATAAGATGCAAAGAACAGGCAACACATCAAGGCCTCATAGTCCCCAAGAATCTGACTTAAAAAATAAAATTCAATCATTGCTGGTTATGCTTAGGACACTGTGTACATGTGATGCAGGGGGTTGAATCTATATTGGAATGTGCAAGACAAGTACCTCACCAACTCTACTGTCTCTGCAACTCCGGAGTCAGAAATTGTTTATGTGTGGTGTTTGTGTGTGTGTGTGGGGGGGGGGGTTCTGGACTGAACCCAGACGTGCTTGGTGTTTACTCCTGGCTCTGTGCTCAGGGATTGCTCCTGGCAGTGCTTGGAGATATATGGTGCCAGAGATCAAACCCTGGCTGGTCACATGCAAGGCAAGCAAGCACCCGACTCACTATTTCTCTGGTCCCCAAGTCAAAAGTTTTTAATAGTAACAAAGGAAGGGTATGATCCTTTTGTGCTACTTATGCTAGAAGCAAAACTAGTACTTTGATTAATAATGAATATAAGTCTGTACATTACTGGCAAGATCACTCAAGTTTGGCATTATTGGACTATCAGTATTTTGAGCTGGGTAATTCTGTGTGAGTGTGTGTGCCATGGGGCTGGGCAGTGCAGCCGAGTGTAATTAGCAGTGTGTCTGATCACTACCTACTAGATGCTAGTAGCAACCTCCCACGCTATGATAACCACAAGTGTCTCCAGACATTGTTATTGTCCTTCGTGGGCCCAACTGTTCTACAGAAGAGCTACTGAGGTAACAGTTACTTCACTGTGCAGTGGTTTGAAAGGGTCTTCAACTAGCTCAGTAAAGACCAGGCATCCTAAGGTCATTCAAAAAATTGTGTTTGTGTGTGTGTGATCAATTTCAGCTAGAGCTGTTGGCAATAAAACTGTACACAGTGCTCATCTCCTATGAGTGAATATGAAATCTAGGGAACTCTGATGAAAAAAAAATGGTCCTTGAGTGTCTTTCAAAGATCACTTATTAGTTGTGAGGACAGAAAAAATCAAACAGCTAGTCAATGTACAGTGGAGGCAAGCAGAAAACTGTCAACCCAGTGATTAGGATTTCTCTCACACACAAATTTCTCTCACATGGATAGCTATCAGGAGTCTGTAGAGCTGATTTCCTGAGAACTAGATGTCACACAGTCAAAAATGTGTAACCTTCCTTTCAGTCAAAAGAAATCACGAGTTATCTAGATTTATTGCTCTTTTTGTGTGTGTATTCTTTTGGTGTAACACAGTGATATTCAGGAGAATATTTCTTCATTAAGAAATGTATAGGGAGGGGCTGGAGCCATAGCACAGCGTTTGCCCTGCACACGGCCAACTCACCTTCGATTCCCAGCATCCCATATGGTCCCCTGAGCACCGCCAGGAGTAATTCCTGAGTGCAGAGCCAGGAGTAACCCCTGTGCATCGCCGGGTGTGACCCAAAAGGAAAAAATAAAAAAGAAATACACAATGGAGATGTTACTGGGCCTGCTCGAGCAAATCGATGAACAACGGGAGGACAGTGACAGTGACAGTGACATAAGGAATAAAGAAAGGTATATATGGATAGAGAGGGATATATAACAAACACATAGAAACAAAGGAAATGCATAACGAGGAACACAGGACATGGACTGGAGAGATAGTCCTGTGGATAAGGTGCTGACCTTATACATGACTAACCTGGTTCAATCCCCAAAGCCACATATAGTGTGTGTATCCCTCACCTCCAGCAAACCATACCCCAGCACTGCCAGGGGTGATCCCTGTGTACAGAGCAAGCAGTGAGTCCTAAGCATCACTGTGTATGGCCTCCACGCACACCTGAAGAAAATAAATCATCAAGAACCAGAAGGGGAATATCTTAGGAATCATTGAATTAGAGTAAAGTATGTTTCTTGTAATGTTCTTGTTTGCAATTTTTCTACACTTGAATTTTTTCTCATCCTTCCTTCTTTTATTATTTTTAAGTAACTAAGGGCACAATAGTGTTAATCTTTTTTGTTTTTTATATAAAAAGTTCTTACTGTATCTTTACCAGTGCCAAAGACACTTCACCACTGTCCTTATACTTCTTGTTTGAAAAAATGTGGGGTTTTCTTGTGAGAGGAAATGGGGTGGCATACCCCGTGATACTCAGGGCTTACTCCTGGCTCTGCACTCAGGAGTCATTCCTGGTGGTGTTCGGGAGCCATATAGAATGCTGAGGATTGAACCTGGTTTGGCCACATGCTTGGCCAACACCCTACCCCCCCTGTAGTATCTCCAGTTCTATAAAAATGTATTCTTTCTATAGTACCAATATATAGTACCAAACCTGGCAAGCTACCCGTGATGTATTCAATATGCCAAACACAGTAACAAGAAGTCTCATGATGGAGACGTTACTGGGCCCGCTCGAGCAAATCGATGAACAACGGGAGGACCGTGACCGTGACTGTGACTGTCTTATACTTGCAGTGCTGCTACTCCATGCCCACCACCTGAGTGCCAAGATCTATTCACCATTACCCCAAGGCCCGTCCTCACTTAGATGTTTGAACTTTCAAATGAAAGATTTTTTTTTAAAGCTTAACTTGGGGAACAAATTGATTTAAGTAATCTGACAAGTTAGTAAAGTGACTACATTCTATTTTTTTTCTTTTTCTTTTTTTTGGGTCACACCTGGCCATGCACAGGGGTTACTCCTGGCTCATGCACTCAGGAATTACTCCTGGCAGTGCTAGGGGGACCATATAGGATGCTGGGAATTGAGCCTGGGTCTGCTGTGTGCAATACAAATGCCGTACCCACTGTGCTATCACTCCAGCCCCAGTGGCTACATTCTTAAGAAACTATTCATGTTGTAGAAACAGCAAGATTAAAAAAAAAAAGGAAGAAAACTTAAAGGCAGGGTTCATTCCTGTGAACCTCAAGATCCCCAGAAGCGCCCAAGGCAAGCCTGAAATAGCTCTCAACAGTTAGGTGTGGGTCAAAAACCCTCCTCAATATCTTACAGTGCTTTGCACATTAGTGATCTTGGGAAATTCGCCCAAAGTTCATCTGGGCTTGGGTTCCTCCAGCAGAATGCTTGCAGCAGTGATCAAAGGCAAGAATATACATTTCAGGGGGCTGGAGAGATAGCACAGCGGGTAGGGCGTTTGCCTTACACACGGTCGACCTGGGTTCGATTCCCAGCATCCCATGTGGTCCCCTGAGCACCGCCAGGAGTAACTCCTGAGTGCAGAGCCAGGAGCAACCCCTGTGCATCGCCAGGTGTGACCCAAAAAGAAAAAAAAAAAGATATATATATATACATTTCAAAGGGGCCAGAGAGGCTGTTCAGCAGGTATATTTGCTTGCCTTGCATGTTACCCTGAATTCTGCCAGGGGTGATCCCTGAGTATAGAACCAGAAGTAAGGCCCAGATCTAAGGCCTGACACAGCAGATGTGGGATGGAAGGAAAGGAGGGAGGGGGAAGAAAGGAGGGAGGGGGAAGAAAGGAAGAAAAGGAAAGGAAGGGAGGGAGGGAGGAAGGAAGGAAGGGGGAGGGAGGGAGGGAGGGAGGGAGGTCGGTCCATGCCAATGTGCAAGAGGAAAACAAACGATAACACAGAGGACTAGAGCCCTAAGAGCAGGAGACGCAGGCCGTCCCCGCCGGCGCCCACGGTCCGCGCTCGCGCCGCCCGCAGGCGCCTTCCAGGCGGCCGCCGCCGCTGCCCGAGCGCGCAGACGCGGAGCCAGACCACGTGAGCGCCGGGCCCCGCGCGGCCGGGCGCAGGCGCGCTCTGGCCACGCCCCCTCCCGAATGGCGTCTCGGTCCCGTCCCGGAGACGCGTTCTGGAGGAACGCCGGCAGCCAATCGCCGGGGAGCGAGTGCCACGAACCGGCCAATGAGGGGCGAGCGGCGCGGGGTTTAAACCTTAGGTGCGGCCGGCGTCTCCCGGCGTGCTGCGGAGGAACGGCTGTTGCTCCTGCTCCAGCTCGCTTCTCGCTCTCGTCCGGGGCTCCCGTGCTCTCCGCCCTCGCTGAGCTCGGCCTGGGATCGAGGCCGCCATGGCACTCCGGGTCACCAGGGTGAGCCGCTGCGGACCGCGAACGAGCGCGGCGGCCCTTCGCTCGCTGCGGGTTCTCCCGCCCCGCGTCGCCGGCCGGAGCCCCCCGCCCCCCCCGCCCCGGGGCAGAATCTGGGCCGCGATACGGGGTGCAGGGGCCCGCGGGCCTCTGGCGGGGTCGGGGGGGCTTCGGGGAACGGTCGGGCGGAGTGGAGGAAGAGGAGAAAGGGAGTGGCTCGGCCTTGCGTGAACGGTGTTGCGGTGGAAAATTTGCTTTCAAAGCGGGTGGAGGGGCGCAGAGCGAGCTCCGACCCCCCGTTCGCCCCCCGCCCACCCCGGGAAGAAGCGGGGTCCTGCGATGAAAGCCCGTGACGGGCTTCGTGGATATGTAAGTTGGTGGTTTTTGAGGGCCGGCGGGGAGCAAAGAGGCCTGCCCCAAGCGGGCAAGGGGCTCCTGGGCGGAAATCTGGCGTGTCCTTCAAGCCTCAGTTTCCCCCACTGCGCCCCCTCTTCTGCCCGCTCTCCTCCCGAGAGCAGCCTCCTTGCCTTGCCCTGATGAAGCCTTGGCTCTAGCCTGGCCGTGCCCGGTTTTCAAAAGATGCCTTGCTCTTTTCCAGAACTCGAAAATCAACGTCGAGAATAAGACCAAGATCCCCATGGCAGGCGCCAAGCGGGTGCCCGTGGCCGCGGTCGGAGCCTCCAAGCCCGGGCTGAGGCCGAGAACTGCGCTGGGAGACATCGGGAACAAAGTCGGAGAGCAGCCGCAGGTCCCGATGCCTCTGAAAAAGGTTTCCCTCTGCTCGGGCTTCCCGGGGAGGCTGGGGGTTCGACTTCCACGGGGGCCGCAGGTGGAGGAAACCTGCCGTCCCCTCTCCCTTTGCATCCACAGGAAGCTAAGTCGATAGCTGCTGGCAAAGTTATTCCGAAAAAGCTGCCCAAACCTCTGGAAAAGGTGCCCGTGCTGGAGCCGGAGCCGGAGCCGGAGCCGGAGCTGGAGCCGGAGCTTAAGGAAGAAAAACTTTCGCCTGAACCTATTTTGGTAACCTATAAACCTTCTTTTCCTCCCAATTTTGGATTCTCTCATTTATTTTTCTTCTGGTTTTACTGATGCATGGAAAAGTGTTTGAGTAAAGAGTAACATTGACTGCCCCAGGCAAACTCTGCTGAGCACTATTAATGCCCACAACCTTTACAAAGATTCTCTCTGCCTGTGTTATTACCCATACTGAAAAAGCAAGGTATTGTCTTTTTCTAGTGGAGTTCCCGCCAGGCACATCTGAGGCTCAAACTCTAGTTGTCTGGCTTAGCAACCCTATAGTTTTATTGGATTTCCAATGCTGTCTCTATTTATTAGTGGTTTTGGGTAGTAACTGCCTGATTTTACTACCTGGCACAACCTAGCTCTATATAGAATTTGTTTGAAAGGAGTATCTTGATCTCTATGCCATGACCACAGAATAACAAGCCTGTAACATTAAAGGTGTAATGTAAGGTGTAAAAGAAAAAAAAATGTAGCTCTTCAGAAAATTGCTGAGTAATTGATAATGAAACTTTATATGGGATATCGTATGTGTAAATATATCCATTGGGGGGTGGGGATGCAGGGTGGATAAGCCTATAAAGATGCTGCTTTGCTTTCTTCAATAGGCGTATCAAATTATCTGAGGGTTCTTTGACAGTCCTCCTGTTTTCAGCCCCACCCTCTTACTTAACCTGTTCATTCCTCAAAACAGCTCAACCATCAAGTCCTGATACGTTCTTCCTCCTTCTTACAGTTCTATGCCTCTTCCTAGAATCAGTTTCCTACTTATTGTTTGTTTGGGGGCTACATCCCAAACAGGGTTCAAGGGCTACTACTACTTCCAGCTTGGTATTTGACTCCTTACAGTATTCAGGCAGAATTCAGGCCTCCTGCATGCAAAACATGCTCAGCCATTGAATTTTCTCCAGACCGCATTTGTTTATTTTTTAAAATTAAGAGCCCCTTGACAACACTTTATAGTGCCCTATATAGAGCTTGCTTGAAGAAAGGTGCTCAATAAGTGTTTGAGCAGTAAGGACTGGAGGGGTTGGGTGACTCAATGGGCAGAGCCCATGTTTTATGTGCAGAAGACCCAGGTTTGTTTTCAGACTGATACCTCAGTACAGAGCTGGGATTCCCCCCACCCCTCCCAAAAACAAAAGAAGTGGAGGTGAATATAGTTACTGATACGGTATTTAATCCTTGGAAGTCAGGGTAGAATCTGTGCTTCTGAGTAGTGACAACTCTAGCCTATGTTTTGAAAGAAGTCTAAAGGCCAGGGCTAGAGAGAGAGAGTACAGCAGATGGGTTACTTGTCTTCCATGCAGCTTATCTGGGTGCAGTCCTCCTCCAGGAGTGATCCCTAAGCATAATCTAATATGACCCCGAACCAAAAAGGAAGGGGGAAAAATGCTAAAGTCCGGCCTATCATTCATTTGAATTAACTTCACATGATGCTAATAAAACATTCATCAGTTACCAGTTTCATTGGAGGAAAGGCATATGAATTTGCTTCCTCTGATTCACGTGTACATGAGTAAAGTGTAACTTCAAAGTTCTATCTTATATGGCACTTGGTTGACATTTTATTTTTCATACCCATGACTTAGAAAATAGAACATCTTTACTAGAAATACTTTTATTTGAAGAAAGGAACCATTCAGCAGATGGTCTTTATGAGTTATCAATAATCTGACCTTCCAAGCTGTAGTATATGTTTCTCTGGGCTACTGACTTTGTTTTGGTTTGGTTTCAGGGGCTCTCAGGATCATGCCAGTACCTAGAATGGACCAGGCCCTGCCATTCTTAGCCCTCTGAGCTATCTCTATTTTTTTTGCCATGTCTCTGCTATTTTAAGAGGTCTCTCTGTTTGAAGGTTGACACTCCCTCTCCAAGTCCAATGGAAACATCAGGATGTGCCCCTGCAGAAGAGTATCTGTGTCAAGCTTTCTCAGATGTGATTCTTGCTGTGAGCGATGTGGATGCAGATGACGGAGCTGACCCAAACCTTTGCAGTGAATATGTGAAAGACATCTATGCTTACCTGAGACAACTGGAGGTCAGTATTCCTATTAGAAACTCTTTTTTTCTAAATTATTCCTAACTTTATTAACAGTTTACAATCATTCAAGCAGGAAGTGGGCAGCTTTTCACTTTAAATTTTTCCATTTAGAATGCCAAAAACAATGAATCACTCATCAGATCAATGAACTCTTTTTCTTTTTCTTTTTGGTTCACACCTGGCGATGCTCAGGGGTTACTCCTGGCTCTGTACTCAGGAGTTACTCCTGGCAGTGCTCAGGGGACCATATGGGATGCTGGGAATCGAACCCGGGTCAACCGCATGCAAGGCGAGCGCCCTACCTGCTGTGCTATCTTCCCAGCCCCTCAATGAACTCTTTTGGGCTTTTTTCGTCTGTTTTTGTTCGGGGCCATATCTGGCTCTGTGACCCTAAAGGAGTCTCTCCTGGCGGTGCTCGGGGGACCATATATTCTGCTGGAGCTTGAATGCTGGTTGGTTACATTCAAGGCAGGCAGGCACCCTACCCACTTTACTCTGTGTCATTTCTTATGTAGGAAGAGTTACCAGTAAGACTACATCCTCCCCTGGTTCAAGTGTTGTGGCTGTCAGACCAGGCCAAACAGGACTCAGGCACAGCAGTATGCGGTGCAAGGCATGTGTGCTACCACTTGAGGCACATGTCCCTCACCAGTCAAACATGAAGGCATGCATTCTACCTGTAACACTCATTATCCCTATATGCAGGAATCTTCTGGAAAGTCCACAATTTATAGTCATCACAGCTGGAAGCACAAGCCCCAAATTTTGGTTTTAGTTTTGTTTGCTTCGTTTAGCGGTCACACCTGGCTTTGCTCACGGATCATTCCTAGTGGTACTTCGGGGACTATATGCAGTGCTAAGAACTGAACTGAGACTGGCAGCATGTCAATATTATTAACCGCTGTATTACCTCTCTAGTCCTATGATTCTCCCGCCATGTAATACATTCTTTTATAATTTGTTTATGATTCACACCTGGTGACGCCCAGGGACTACTCACAGCTTGGTGCTTGCTGAGGAAGTAGGGGTTGCTGTGAATCCAGGGCTCCTGCATGAAAAGCATGACCTTAGCCCTTTGGAGCTATCTCTCTGGCCCTATGATGCATTTTTTTTCTCTTAATAACAATTACATCTTAAAATCTTCTTGGTTCCATTAGGCATCTCTGTTTTCTACAAGAAGGATTGTTCTGTGAGAATTTCCTTTTCAGGAGCAGCCTTTGGGTTTCTTTTATCTTTTTAGTACTTTTTATTTTATAAAGGTGAAGAAAGAGCTCTCTTGGAAACGAGTCAGCAGATAGGAAAGATGGTGGACTCTTGACTCCAGAACAGTTATTTGCATGGACACAAGTTGGATTTTATGTCTTGTTTTGGTTTATGGGCCACACCTGGCAGTGCTCAGAGGCCCATATGGTACAAGAATCAAACAAAGGTCTGCAACATCCAGAACAAGTGCCTTAATCTTGATGCGCCCTCTCCAGCCCACTTTTTGGTGTCTTTTAAAAAGACAGTTCATGTTCTCATATTGGAGAAGTAGTTTTAGCAAATACATGTGCTGGTCATTTTCTGTAATCTGTTTTGGGAGTTAATGACCTGCAGTAGGAATGTATTTCCAGCTGACCTAGTAGCTACTGCTATTTTCTCTACTTCGTAAACGTAGAAGTTTGTGGGAGATTTCTCAGTAAAATGAGAATTGAGCTGCCATTTGCCAACAATTCCACTTCAGGGTTTGTACCCCAGGGCCCAAAAACATTCAAGAGAGTATCGGCATACCATTATTAGCACGATAGCTTGGCTATGGAATCAAAACAGGTGTATAGCAAGAAATGAGTGTATTATGAAGTTGTGGTCTAAAAACATAACGGGGAGGGCCAGAATGATATTACAGTGGGGAGGGGTTTGCCTTGGACACAGCCAAACAGGGTTTGATCCTCGGCATCCTATATGGTCGCCCAAGCACTGACAGGAGTAATCCCTGAGCAACACAGGCTGTGACCCACTATGCAGCTGCAAGAAACGATGAAATCATAAAATTCACTGCAACTTAGAACTAGAGGATATCATATTAAGTGGGGTAAGTTGAAAGAAGGGCAATTGTAGGATGGTCTTATTTAACTGTAGAATATAAAGTAACAGGAAGAGGGAATACAAGGCATTAAAGGGGAATAACGCCATCACCTTGAGTCCAGAATTTAGGGAGAAGGACAGGAAGGGGAAGAAATCAAGCTGGGGAGTAGGAAGAGGTAGGGTAGGGGGTCAAGGATTTCCTGTACGTTGGTGGTTGGAGCCATGGTATAGCTATGTATGCAAACCACAGAGTCAGCAACACTGCAAGTATTGAATCCAGGCTTAAAAATGTGCATGACAAGGAGGCAGCCTGGAATGTGGGACGGAACCCGGGGACATTAGCTGAGGGAAGTTGAGCTCAGTATATGTCTGAAACTCAAATATGAGTAACTTATTTGTGTTAGGAAATTTTTTTTTTCTTTTCAAATCACACCCAGCAATGCACAGGGGTAACTCCTGGTTCTGCACTCAAGACTTACTCCTGGTGGTGCTCAGGGGACCATATGGGATGCTGGGAATCAAACCCGGGTCGGCTGCATGCAAGGCAAACTCCCTCCCCACTGTGCTATCGCTCCAGCCCCTGCGTTAGAAATTTTAAGTGAAAAAACCTGAAATAATAGTTTGGTGATTTATGGGGTTGGGGGTGGGTGGGAGGGGGAGTAAGTCAGTATGAGGTGTCTGCTAGCAGTGATGAATAATTTAAGAGCTGCCAATATGAAAGACCTATCACAGTCTGCCCTGTGTAATGTTTGGTTCTTGTTTGATAATAGAGCTTTTTGGAGGACCATTATAAATATAGTTAAGAATTGGAGCCAGAGAGATAGTACAGCGGGCAGGGCGTTTGCATTCCACACAGCTGACCTGGATTTGATCCCTGACATCCCATAGTTCCCCAGCACTTCCAGGAGTAATGCCTGAGCATTGCCTGGTGTGGCAAGAGAGGGGGGTGGGGAGAGAAAATTGGAGCTAGAGTGATAGAGTGCTTTGCCTTTCATGTGCCCAACCCTGGCAGCCTGGGCTTGATCTCCAGAAGTGACCCTTAAGCACAGAACCGGGAGTAATCCCTGAGCACAGACAGGTGTAACCCAAAACAAAACAATAGCAACAACAACAAAAATCCAAAGAATTTTCAAAGGAGCCAGCAGCCTGGCAGGGTTTGGTGTCCAGCAACACACATGGTCACCTGATTACCATCAGGGGTGATCCCTGAGCCCTTCTGGGTGTGAAAACCCAACCCCCGTACACACAAAAGAAGAATTGTAGAGTGGGCTATGGCACTTATTCTGTATGTGGGAGCCCTGAGTTCCATCTCTGCCGCTCTATGTTCCTCCAAGCAATGAATCAGGGTAGTCCCTGACCATTGCCCTGTATCGCCCCCAAGCCAAAAACAAAAGTGTTAGGTCCTACATGCTCCAGAATAATTCTTTGTGGTTCCGGGCATTTCTAGTCAGAAATGCCCCAGGGAGAACCCTGAGAGAACTCAGAGGACTGGACTGCAGCATGCTTGTGATGAATGGAAGGGTCCTGGGTTCGATCCTGAGCAGAGTTGGGAGTAACTCTTGGAGCACCTCCACGAGAGGCTCCCAAACCAACTAACAGTAATTAACATTTCTCTTGTAGGAAGAGCAAGCTATTAAGCCCAAATATCTCATGGGTCGGGAAGTCACTGGAAACATGAGAGCTATCCTGATTGACTGGCTAGTCCAAGTCCAGATGAAATTCCGGTTGCTGCAGGAGACCATGTATATGACTGTCTCCATTATCGATCGGTTCATGCAGGTGAGTGTCATCCCGTGACTGAGGGCTCTCTCAGGGTCCTTCCTCCACGAATACAAATACTTTAGCTAAAATTGGTCTTGGTGTCATTACCTGGGGCTTTTTGCCTTGGTGTCATTCATTACTCAAGTATTTTTTTCCCTCCTCTGCTTCTGCATCATAGCTCTGTATCTCTTTTTTAAAAAAAAAAAACCTTGTTTCTTCATTCGGTTTAAATTTCTTGCTGCAGAATAACTGTGTGCCCAAGAAGATGCTGCAGCTGGTTGGAGTTACAGCCATGTTTATTGCAAGCAAATATGAAGAAATGTACCCTCCAGAAATTGGTGACTTTGCCTTTGTGACCGACAATACTTACTCTAAACACCAAATCAGACAGATGGAAATGAAGATTCTGAGAGCCCTAAATTTTGGCTTAGGTCGCCCTCTGCCTCTGCACTTTCTTCGAAGAGCATCTAAGATTGGAGAGGTACAGGTTTCTTGAGAAAGCTTGGGTCATGGAACACCAGGGGATACTGCCAGCCAAACAGACCTAATTCAGCTGACGGACACGAAACTATATAGAGAAGGGACAAAGTTGCTTCTCTTTGTACTCAAGTCCCATATTACTAAGGCCTTGTGGGCAGTTGCGTTCGGAGTAGAAAAGCGTTCTCAGTTGCAGGTGTGGGCCTGACTGAAAGAAGGTCAGTGACCTGTGGGGTTTTGTTCCAGGTCGATGTTGAACAACATACTTTGGCTAAGTACCTGATGGAACTAACCATGTTGGACTACGAAATGGTGCACTTTCCTCCATCGCAAATTGCTGCCGGAGCTTTTTGCTTAGCACTGAAAATCCTCGATAATGGTGAATGGGTAAGTTTTGGCCCACAGGCCTGTGTTGCCCTAAGCTTCTGAATTAGAAATTCAGTGGGATTCTGGCAATTACAGGGTTGTTCTACTTAAAGACGGTTCAGCTTCTGTTTAAATATGGAATCTAGTCAGGGAATGGTTAAAAATGATTTATCTTGGACCGAAGATACAGTATGGGGGTTAAGGCACTTATCTTGCACATGGCTGGCTCGGTTTGATCTCTGGCACTGCATCGGATCCCTTAGCACAGTCGGGAGTGAGCCCTGAGTATCACTGGGTGTGGCCCCAAAACAAATGAAGCAAAAATGATGCCTTGTTTGTGCAAGAATGTCAGAATTCTTGTGTTGCCTAATACCTTCCTGTACCCCGGGGCTGAAGTGATAGTCCACTATGTAGCTTGCTTGTTTTGTAAAAGGCAAACTTGAGGGGCTGGAGCGATAGCACAGTGGTAGGGCGTTTGCCTTGCACGCAGCCAACATGGCCGACCCGAGTTCGATTCCTCCGCCCCTCTCGGAGAGCCCGGCAAGCTACCGAGAGTATTCGATATGCCAGACAGAGTAACAACAAAGTCTCCAATGGAGACGTTACTGGGCCCGCTCGAGCAAATCGATGAACAACGGGAGGACAGTGACAGTGACAGCAAATCATTAGGCCACTAGGGCAGATAAGGGCTGGAGTGATAGCACAGCGATAGGGTGTTTGCCTTGCAAGCTGCCGGCCCGGCCGAGCCGGGTTCAATTCCTTCATCCCTCTCGGAGAGTCTGGCAAGCTACCGAGAGTATCTCACCTGCACGGCAGAGCCTGGCAAGCTCCCCGGGACGTATTCGATATGCCAGACACAGTAACAACAAAGTCTCCAATGGAGACGTTACTGGGACCGCTCCAGCAAATCTATGAACAACGGGAGGACAGTGACAGTATGACTCAAAAAGCAAAAAAAAATTAAAAAAGGCAAACTTGAGTTCCATCCTCAGCACTCCATATGGTGCCCTGAGCACAGAGCCAAAAGTAACCGCCAAGCATCTCCAGGTGTGGCCAAAGAAAAAATCTTTTTGTAATCCCATGAGGAAGCCAGTTAGTTGCATAACACATGTGACATTAAAGCTGGTCAAGTGACCTGCTGCAAATTTTTCAGTTTCATTTACTCAATAAATATTCTCCTATGTGTTATGTGCAACTAGACCCTAGGAAAATGGATGGAAAAGGTGGCCTCAAGGAACTTAGAACCAAGCTTGGGGTAATGACTCAATTGGAACTGTATAATTAGGTTTGAGCACATTATTTAGCCTGTGAAACATGAAAAGAGAATCTGCGGAGAAGGGAATCTTTAGCTTTTTTTTTTTTTCTTTTTGGGTCACACCCAGTGATGCACAGGGATTACTCCTGGCTCTTCACTCAGGAATTACACCTGGCAGTGCTCGGGGGACCATATGGGATGCTGGGGATCAAACCTGGGTCGGTCGCGTGCAAGACAAACACCCTACCCGCTGTGCTATTGCTCCAGGTGCGGGAGTCTTTAGCTTAACTTAAATTTCAGTTAACCCATCATGGTTTCTGTCTCCCTACCCTGTTGTCAATAACACTTAAACTTTTATGGAGCAATTTTTTGATGCACACTTTTAATATTGTTATTTTCTTAGACACCGACACTACAGCATTACCTGTCCTACACCGAAGAATCCCTTCTTGTTGTTATGCAGCATCTAGCTAAGAATCTGGTGGTGGTGAACAGTGGACTTACAAAGCACATGGTAAGTCATTGAGTAGCGTGCTCTAGGATGTTGAAAATAGTGAAGATATAAGACCTTACACCCACAAGTGTATAGTTTATTTTTAAGGGAGTTAAAATGTTTCAAATGAGAGTTCAGATGGATCTTGTATTTTTCTCTTCTTTAATAATTACTACACTGTCTTCTTCCAGACTATCAAGAACAAATATGCCACATCCAAGCACGCTAAGATCAGCACTCTGGCACAGCTGAATTCAGCACTAGTTCAAGACCTAGCCAAGGCTGTGGCAAAGGTGTAACCTGTGAACTTGAAGACTCGGAGTACTATATCTGCAAATAAAATTGGCACCATGTGCTATTTGTACATATATGTTTCATTACTTTTAATAAAGATTTTCATCCTTTTTACTTAGACCTTAACTCATGGCTATTTCCTAGGGTAATTTAAAAGTTGTTTGAACAGTATGGAGGTATTTGGGGGCGTATGAAAGATGCTTTCAATTTGCCTGGGGGCCTACACTAACATGTGAATAATTGTTACTTTTGTGCTTGGCTCTTGTTCTGTGTACCTGGCTTTTACTGTATTGATGTGAACTGTGAAAGACTGATGTTGTAAAGACATTTAAAACCTTTGCTTGGTAGTAGAAGAGGCTCCCTGTGGGCCCAGTTGCCTTGGCAGGATTTTCTGCTCAGTTCTGCTTAAGTCTGTCACCTCTCTCCACTTGTTTTTCATTTGTTTTGGTGGTAATAATCTTAGTAATCTACTGTTATTATATACTGTTTTCACTTAGAGAAAAACTTGTTTCTTCCCTTTGCCTTTGTCACTGTGCAGTGTTGGAGAAGTCACACCTGGTGTGTGAAGTTTCCACATGAGCACTGCCCCATTCTCAGTGCTTCTGGGCTTCGAGCAGGTCATGCCCCACAGAACTGTGGCTTGGGGCTTTTGTGGCACATCCATCTCAGTGCTCAGGGTACTACATGGTGCCGGTGACCAAAGCTAAAGGTTTCTACCTCTAACTCTAACCCTTTGACTATTTCCCCATCCTCAAAAGTATCTTTTTAAAGTCAACTGCTTTTTACCTCTCCGGTATTTCAATCCTATCAGCAGTTTAAATTCAGTGTTTTAAGTGTTATAAGTTCATGGCAGGTAGTTTCAGATAATGTCAGCAACACACAAACCTAGTTTTCTCTGTGCTTGCCAAAACTGAAGATAAACCATTGTCTTCCATGTCTGTGAATTTGGCAAAAAATATCCTATCTTGTTTGCTGTTTTATGATACTAGCTGAATAAATGTTTTTTCACTTGCTATATTAGTTTATCATGTTCTTTATCAATGCCGTCTTTTGCTATGCATACATTTTATGTTCTTGAAGGTTTTTTTTGTTTTGTTTTTAATGAAGGCTTTTATATTCTCAGTCTTAAATGATCAGGTCAATTCACCCCAAACCATAAATACCTAAAATTCCAAATTTTCACATAGGTTTTCAGTAAACATTGTGATATGCGGTGGGATTCTCTCATTTTAATCTAGGACCATAGTATTAAAACCATCTTTGTCCAGGAGTAGGACAGCTGGTTCATAGGTTCAGTTCCTGGCATTGCATAGTTTCCTAGTACCATCAGTGATGGAAACCCCCAAACCACACCGATCAAAGTCCTCTCCATACTATTTTTGTTTCAATTGAACCGAAACATCAATGGTCATTGATTTCTTTTTCTACTTGTTTTTCCCCTGTGATATGTTAGTGTTTAACATTGTTTTCTGCTAATATGAGACTACTGTTATTTTGACATTTGTGGGCAACTTTAAAAACAAAAGTTGGGGCTGGAAAAATAGTACAGGGATTAAGAACCGCTGTGTGACTGCTCCCCAAGTCACAAGGTACTCTGAGCACCACCAGGAACAGCCCCTTGGCACAGCCAGGAATAGGTCCTGAGCACTGCCAGCTACCTCCCAGATGAAACAACATGAAGTTAAATGAGATTTGAAATGTTCCTTTGATATTTGTGTTATGTTGTGTCCCTCAGTGGCTGGAGATAAAATAATTCAAAGCAATTATTAATGAATGCTGAAATTGAGCAATGGCTTTATAGCTAAATTCTAAAAAGCCCAGGACAGATTTGCCATTCAGAAACATTTTTCTCCATGAATCTTATTGCATGTTCTCTGATACAATGTTAAAATACATTTTTATGGCTTCTCATGTTTTGTTTTTAGTTTTGAGGGCACTCCCTTTGGTGCTCAGGGCTTGCTCCTAACTCAGCCCAGAGATCAGTTCTGGTGGTACTTGGGGGCCATTTGTGGTCCTGGGATCAAACGCAGGTGAGCACAGCCATATCCTTTTGCCCACCTTATTGTTTCTTCATAGTGAAGGAACATGTTATATGAAAACAGTAAAGTTCAGATTATGCATTTTGGAAAGTATATGTCTACAAATTATGCACATATTGGAGTACCTCATCTTGTTCATTAATGGTATTGCCAAGTTTGATGATCTGGGAATAGAATTTAGCTATAAAGTCACTGCTCAATTTCACCATTTATTAATAATTGCTTTGAATTTTATCTCCAGCCATTGACATGAGTGTAGTTCTATATCATCGCATGAATATTATTATTTACCATTCTTATAGAATAGCTCGCCACCCACAGTAACCTTTTAATTTTAATATCAAGTGATCAATTAAAATCTATCATTGCGTTATTTTCACGAATGTCATCCCCAATTAGCAACCTCAACTACACCTGACACTAGAAATTTAAATCAGAACGAGTCATTTTGGCACTGACTAATCTATTGGGATTAATCTTGCTCATGTAAGAGAATAGGAGAATTAATGCTTTGCCTTTCTGTTGCCAACTGTTGCCACTGGCCGCAATAGGCAACTGCTTAAAGGACAGAGATCAGGTTCGGGAGATAAGACTGGGAAACACGAGGATGTCCCTGAGCACCCTGAGCACCGGCTTGCAGCTGGGCCCTGCTGGGTGTGGTCCCAAAGCAAAACATACAAAGTACAAGGTTGCAGTGCTTGGGCCCCAAGGGTGAACCCTTACATGACCCACGTAAGGGAAACCTAGAAACCAACCAGACACTGTAAGACCTGCCATTTTTATTTTGTTTCTCATTACAGCCCTGGGAATAACAAAGCTGAATAACAAAGGCTGTACTTGGGGATGCCCAACTCAATTATCAGTGAAAATCTTTTTTTTTTGTTTGTTTTAGGGGCCCACACCCGGCGGTGCTTAGGGTTTTATTCCTGGCTGTGCACTGGGGACTATATGGGATGAGGGTGATCCAACCCGGTTGGCCAAATAGCAAGGCAAGCAAGCGCCTTACCCGTTGTACTACGGCTCCGGCGCCGTCAATTACTAATGAAAATCTTGTAAGATTCACGCTGGAAGTCAGGGGTTCAAATCCCTGCACCGTCCCTTACTTTGGAGAAGGTGCGGGGCGGCGGGGGGCGTTAATTTTCTCTGAAACTGAGACATTCGTTTCTCCACCAGGCAAGGGGTTTGGACCTTCTGACCTCGATCAGAAGCCAAAAAAAAGAAGCCCCCACACCCCAAATATTTCTCTTTCCCAGTCTGCCAGGCACATCCGTTCCCAAATGCTAGGATGCTCTCCCCCTGCTCTCCTATAGTCCCCTGGCCAAAAAAAGCCGAATGAGCAAATCCAACAGGTGGGCGCGTTTCAATCCCAGGCTGCGACTCGCTGGAACCCGGAGTGTGCCGAGCGGCTGCAGCCCTGCCCCTCGCTCCGTAGAACGGAGGCTTCCGGCGTCTGGAATTTTGAAAACAGCGCGCGGCGGGCCGGCCGAGCAGTGATCGACTGGGGATGAACCCGCCCCCGTCTCCATGGCAACGAGGGCGGGACGGGAGGCGCTCGGGCGGAAGGGGCGGGGCGGAGGGCGCCGTTACTCGGCCGCTTCCGGGCGGGCCGCCGGGTCGGGGTCCTCTTCTGTAGCTCCAGCGGGGACAGCCCCGTCCCACCGGGGCCTGGAATGGAGAAGTCGTCCCGAGCAGACTCCGGAGAGGAAGGTGGGACGCCGCCGGAAGCCGACGCCCCAGCAGCCCCCCTGGACGACCACCTGGCTCTGCTGCTCAGGTGGTTCCCTAAGGCGGGAGCAGCGGGGCGGGCCCCAGCTGCGCCCTGTGCCCGGGAAACCGGGATCCCCTTGTTGGGACAAGGGCCCTCCGCACACGTGTGACTGCTTTGTCCTTTCAGCACCTTTGGGAGCCAGGGCCGCTGCTTGGAAACGGAGAGAGGGGGAGGACGCGCGCTCCTGGGGTTGCTACGGGGATTTGGGACGGCTTAGTTGGTGCCTGGCGCCCGGCGCTCGGGGTTTTCGGGGCTGCGGACTCCCCTCGCCCCCAGGCCTGGCACCCGGCTTGCCTGGGGTTTCCCCGGGGGTGGTGCTGGGAGTCCCCCGCGGGGCCTCGCTCTTGCAAGTCTCCCGAGCTCCGTTCCTGGCCCGAGATCAGTTTCCCGCCTTTGCTGATGAGCTGGCTCCGTGCCGGCCCGGGCGCCCACCCCAACACATCACACCAGTGGCGGTGCTCGCCGACGTGCTTGCTGGGGCCTGGACCACGCGTGGAGGACGAGGTGCTCCTGTATTCTGGTTCTGGAGAGAAGGTGCTCACATCTGAAACTGGAGGGAATGTGGGTGGGTGTGGCATAGACCCGGCGGTGTGCAGGAAGCCCAGCGCGCAGCTTTTTTTTTTCCTTTTTGCGTCACACCCAAAGATGTTCAGGAGTTTACTCCTGGCTCTGCAGTCAAGAATTACTCCTGGTGGTGCCTGGGGACCATATGGGATGCAGAGGATTGAACTCAGGTCGGCCGCGTGCAGGGCAAACACCCTACTACCTGCGGTACTGTGGCTCCAGCCAGCGCGTGCAGCTCGTGCAGTGAAAATTATTTTTGAAGTTAGAATTGCAGAGTCTAAAATTTTATGGGAGGGACACCGAGAGGTAGGGCACTGGCTTTGCATACGGCCATCCGGGTTGGAGCCCTGGCACCCTATAGGATCTCCCAAGTACTGCCAGGAGTGATTTCTAAGTGCAGAGCTAGGAGGAATCTCTGAGCCACGCCGGGTATGTCCCGGAAAATAAATAAAATTTTGTTGGAGCGCCAGTGAAAGAGTACAGCAGATAAGGCGCTAGCATTTGTACTCTGCCAACCTGGGTTCTATCCCCGGCACCCCTATCTGGTTACCCGAGCATTACCAGGAGTATTCACTGAACACAGAGCTGGGAGTAATCCCTGAGCAGCTCAGGGTATGACCCAAAAACCAAAAAAAAAAAAAAGATGTAAGACCTTTTTTCAGCTCTACAAAAAAAGGACTTTTTTTTTTTTTGCTTTCTGGGTCATACTTAGCGATGTACAGGGGTTACTCCTGGCTCTACACTCAGAAATTACTCCTGGCGGTGCTCAGGGGACCATATGGGATGCTGGGAATTGAACTCAGGTTGGCTGAGTGCAAGGCAAACACCCTACCTGCTGTGCTATGGCTACAGCCCCTTAAAAAGGAATTCTCTCAGTGTTTTAAAAATGCTAGACTAAGAGCGGGAGAGATGGTACAATAGGTAGGGCATCCCAGATGATCCCTCGAGCACTACCAGGAGTGATCCCTGCGTGCAGTCAGGAGTAAGCTCTCAGCTTTGTGGGGTGTAGCTCCCCCCCAAAAAAATTTGAAATGCTGGTCTACTTTTAGCTTTTTTGTTTATTTTGGGACCACAAGCTGTGATGCTCAGAGGTTTCTCCTGTCTCTGCACTCAGAAATCACTCCTGGAGGCACCTGGGGGATCATACGGGTTGCTGAGGTAGCTGCATCTGCCAGTGCAAGGCAATCACCTTACCTGCTCTTCTATCTCTTTGGCCCTCCCAGGACCCCTTTAATGTGGGGCAAGCACCCAACTGCTGAGCTATAGCCCTGGCTTTAGATCGCACCTAGGCCGGTGATCAAACCCAGGCCCACTCACCTGTGGGCAAATATACTGCAGATAAGCTATACTCCAGCCCATGTCCTGAATGTTCTTTATGCCCGTTTTACTTGGAGGGGGAGCCCATTCAGCTTAGTCAGGGCTTATAACTGCCTCTGTACTCAGGAATCACTCCTAGTGGGGTTCAGTGGACCATAAGGGGTGCCTGGGATCAAAACAGGTTGGCCTCATGAAAGGCAAACACCCTACCTGCTATATTAATACTCCTGCATTGTATGCCCATTTTAAGTAAGACCAGGTCTGGAGAGATAATACGGGGCTAAGATATGTCTTGCATGTGACCAATCCCAGGAATAAGTGCTGAGTACCAACAGGTTGTAGCTCAAACTCCAACCCCCACCCCCCCCCAAAAAAAAAGTGAAAAGAACGTACACAAACTGAAGCCAAACTGGAAGTTTAATGATTTTTGCTTTTTTCTCTGAAAGAATATGATTTATCATATAGTAATTAATAACATGTCAATAAATAATATGTCTTTCTCTTTTCATTTGTTTCTAGACTGAGAGCACAGACAAAACAACAACTCTTGGAATATAAGTCAATAGTTGATGCAAGTAAGTGCTTTTCATTTTAAATAAGGTTTTGTGAGCTCCATTTTTATCTGGCTCTATACTCAGAGATCACTCCTGGTGGTATTCAGGGGGCCCTATGTTGTACCAGGGATCAAACTTTGGTTTATTTGATCAACCTATGCAAGGCAAGTACATTAAGCTCTACTTTCTCTCTGACCCCTAAAATTATTATCATTATTTTAAAATAATTTTACTTCTCATTTTATATGGGGGGAGTTGGGCCTCACTTGGAGGTTCCTGGCTATGAGTCCAGGGGACCAGATGTGGTATTGGCGATTCCAGCTAGGAATGGTGAAATTTAGGCAAGTGCCTTAACTCCTGACTTTATCTCTAGCCCCTAAAATTGAGTATTTTATTTCCTTTTGGGTGGGGGGGCGCAGGGGGTTCTCTCCCAAGGGTGCTCAGGGCCTATTCCTGACTCTGTGCTCCTGATTCCTGGCAGTGCTGGAGATTTAAATCAAGGTCAGCAGGATACAAGGCAAGTAAGTGCCTTAACCTATGGATTGTCTCCTGGCCTCAAAATTCACCATCTTAATAGAGTTTAGGGACAGGGGCACATGCCTGATAGGCACAGGTCAGTTACTAGGCTGCAGGCTTCTCACACACTGCCAGCTGTAGCCCTAGTGACCCCCACCACTCATGGGAGTTCTCATGCTCCCAAAAAAGTGAAGGAGTAAAAGATTCAGTTGTTTTTATATTTGCAGTGTTGTATAACCATAACCATTAGCAAATTCCAGAACATTCCCATCACCCTTAAAGGAAATTAGGTTCTCATCAGTCCGTTCATTGTGTCTGGCTATTATCTTTTTTTAACCTTTAAGAAAAACATTTCTTTTTTTTTATTTGAGGCAACATGATTTACAGTACTGTTCATGATGTTTTTGCCTACAACATTCCCCCACCACACTCTGCAGCAGGGTTTCAGTTTCCTCTACCACTCTCTCAGGGCCTCTGCACCCTGCCAGTTCCCTGCGGTAAGCTCAGTTCTACAGACCAGTCGGCCAGTTCAGTTGCCATTGGCCATTTGTTACTCCCTTACTAAAGCATCTCAGGGATTTTTGTTTGTTTCTGGGACACATTTTTATTTGGGTTTGGTTTGGTTTTGTTCTGGGGCCACACCAGTTCATTCAGGGCTGACTTCTGGCTCTGCACTCAGGGATTACTCCTGGTGGGCTTGGGGGAGCGTATGGTAGCCAGGGATTGAACCTAGGCTGGTTTCGTGTGAGGCAAGTGCCTACTCACAGTACTATTTTACCAGCCCCATCTCTGCCTCACTGTGCCATGCTCTGGGCTGCTCCCTGGAGTGTTCAGCAGTCTAACTGGGACCTCCAGTTAGACTGGAGGTCTGACTAGATCTTGAACTATCTCCCCAGCCCCCATAGCATAGTATTTTTATGACTCATCCATATTGTTATTTTCAGTAATTCATTTTATGTCAGAGAGCCCAGCAAGCTACCGAGAGTATTTGATATGCCAGACACAGTAACAACAAAGTCTTCAATGGAGACGTTACTGGGCCCGCTCGAGCAAATCGATGATCAATGGGAGGGCCTTTACTTTTACTTACATTTTATGTTGGCTTTCTTTATTAAAAAAGTATTTGTTTGCTTATTGATGGTCCTTTGAATTGTTTGCATTTTTTTTTCTTTTTGGGTCGCACCTGACGATGCACAGGGGTTACTCCTGGCTCTGCACTCAGGAATTACTCCTGGCGGTGCTCAGGGGACCATCTGGGATGCTGGGAATCGAACCCAGGTCAGCTGTGTGCAGGGCAAACGCCCTACCCGCTGTGCTATCTCTCCAGCCCTTGTTTGCAATTTTTTGGTCCATTTTGAATATGGACTTTCATTTTTTTGTGGGATGGCAAGAGGATTGGGGCCACACCCAAGATGTTCAGGGCTTACTCCTGGCTTTGGACTTGGGGGTCACTCCTGGTGATCATCAGGGAACCATGTGCATGCCTCCTAAAAGCAAAATTTTGAGGTCATATGTCCTCTTCAACTTTTTAAAGAGCTAACAACTAAAATGCTTTTATCACTTAGTATATTTCAATCACTATTTAAGATTTCCAATTCTGTATTCTTTCTAATATTGCTTATTGTCAACTTTTTATTTTTAATTTAGGCATTGTGGTATACAGGAGGGTTTTTGATGTTTGTTTTAGGCTGTGCCTTGTGGTGCTCACGATGACGAACTCCTGATTTGCTCTCAGGGATCTTTCTTGGTGGAGCTTGGGGGACCACATGAGGTGTCAGACATTGAATCCTGGTTGGTTGCTTGCAAGGCAAGCATTCTACCTACTGTACTATCACTCCAGGCCCAGTTTACGATACTCTGAATAGTAGTGTTTCAGACCTGCAATGTTGCCACACCACAGCCACCACCAAAGTGCCAGGATCTTTCTACCACTGTCTAATTGCTATCATATAGACATAAGTTAGGAATTTTTTTTCACTTTTTATTTTTTTAATCGTAGTTATTTTCTATTATTCTAATACTCTCTGCCAATATGATAGCCAGCAGTTCTGTACAATGTTTACCTGATTTGGATGCATTACGTTTAATAAGCTATATTAGTGTTAGTTTATTTGCTGTCATAATGTGGAGACTGTCACTGTAGCACTATCCTCCTGTTGTTCATCGATTTGCTTGAGCGGGTGCCAGTAACGTCTCCATTTTGAGACTTGTTATTACTGTTTTTGGCATATCAAATAACCACAGGGGGCTTGCCAGGCTCTGTCGTGCGGGCAGGATACTCGGTAGCTTGCCGGGCTTTCCGAGAGGAACGGAGGACTCGAAACTGGGTCAGCCGGGTGCAAGGCAAATACCCTACCTGCTGTGCTATCGCTTCAGCAATTTAAATTTGCAGACTTGATTTGCACTTATAGCTTATGTATATTTTGGGGAGAGGAGGGTTTGGGGTCGCAGCTGGCAGTACTTGGGCTTTTCCTGGGTCTGTGCTCAGGAGTTCCTGCAGGCACTGCTCGGGGAGGCTTGTGGTGCCAGGGATCAGACCTGGGTCAGCTGCCATGCCCTTGAGCCTCTTAACCCCTGTACTATCACTCTGACTCTGACTTGTATTTATTGTGGACAGCAGTATTCTAAAATAATACTGATTTTAAAAAACTATTTATTTGTAGATGAAGAAAAAACTCCAGAACAATTCTTGCAAGAACAGCAAATTGAAGCGTATGTCATATTTTCAAGTTTTTTTTTATATGTCTTGTTTTATTTGTAGTCATTACTTAGATTTTATTATCTTTCTTACAACTGTGTCTTTCTTTTTATTTCTCTGAATTTTGCCAAAATAATTTGTCAGGAGTGAGTGGAAGAATTATAGACGTGAGGTGTAGGCTCATATATACACATTGATCACAGAATCCTGTCTGTCGTCCCTTTACCAAGGTACTTAGCTAAATGTATCTCAAATAGGCACCAGTTTTCAAATTTGTAAATACGTCAGTGTGGTGAGTCTGTAGAAGACTTTAGGGGGTATAATTTTTATTTTTTTCAAAGGTTCACTTTATTATTATCCAATAATGATGTTTTTCTGATATTCTTTCCTGCTTCTTTGATAGTAAAATTGAAGACCTGGAAAATGAAATTGAAGAAGCAAAAGTTGCTTTTGAAATAAAAAAGCTTGCATTAGACAGGTAATTATTGCATTTTTTAAATAAAAACTTTGCGGACTAAATGCAAAATGGATATGGTGTGAGGTGGGGAGAATATTTTAGCTGGTCCAAATGAATTCATCAAATGAAATGATTAGATAATAGTCACACAAATTTTGAGCTGTAAGAGAAAAGTTACTCATTTGTTAAAACTCTTGTTTGAAGAAGCTATATAAGGTAGAGTTAATAAGGAAAGATGAATCAAGAGCATAGAAGACATTACCTCCCATATGGTGTTTGAAAATGTTGAATGAATTGGGCTGGAGCGATAGTGCAGCGGGGAGGGTGTTTGCCTTGCACGCAGCCAACCCAAGTTTGATCCCTGACATCCCATATGGTCCCCCAAGCACCCCCAGAAGTAATTCCTGATCATCGCTGGGTGTAACCCAAAAAGCAAAAAAAAGAAGAAGAAGAAAAAAAAGAAAGTGTTGCATTAATTAAACTGTCCTCCCGTTGTTCATCGATTTGCTTGAGCGGGCCCAGTAACATCTCCATTTTGAGACTTGTTGTTACTGTGTTTGGCATATTGAATACGTCACGGGTAGCTTGCCAGGCTTTGCCATGCAAGCGAGATACTATCGGTAGCTTGCCGGGTTCTCTGAGAGGGGTGGAGAAATCGAACCTGGGCCAACCCGGTCGGCCACGTGCAAGGCAAACACCCTACTGCTGTGCTGTCGCTCCTGGGCAAACTAATTTAATTTGGTATTTATTGCTCAAATAAAAGAATTGTCATGACTGGAGAGAGAGCACAGCTGATAAGGCACTTGCCTTGTCCACAACCAAACCAGATTTCATCCTTGCCACCACATATGGTCCCCTGACCTTCCATCATGAATTAATCTCTGAGCACCAGCAAATATGGTCCAAATATGCACAAAAAATTGTCGTGGAATCTAAATATGTTCATAACTATATGTTTTGCCTGTTGTATTTTATTTATTTGGGTGGGGGACACGCACAGTGGTGCTTGGGGGTTTCTCCTGACTATGCTGGGAGAACATCCAGTGCCGGGGAGAGAGCTGGGTTTGGCTACATGCAGGGCAAGTGCCTTTCCTTGTACTCTCTTCGGCCGTGTTGTAGAAAAGTGTTACCGTTTATTGTTTTGATGTGCAGTTACTGCACCTCATCACCACCACTGGGGAGCTCAAAGATCCTTACCTAGTGCGCAGATCAGTCCGTCTAGTCTGTCTTCCCCTGGGCCCTTCCTCCCTGCTTGGTAGTTGCAGTTTTGTCATCCAAGGCCAGCCCCGTGCCAATCTCCCTGTCTGACAGCTCTTTTCTGGCTCCTGCCTGACAGCTCTTTTCTGGCTCTTCATCGTGGTGGGTGGCTGGGAAGCTAAGCTCAGGTTCTTTCAGGTCTAGTTAGCTGTCAGCTCACGGTGCATGACCATGTGTAACAGTCCCTTCATCTTCATGTTATTTCCTGTTTCTGTGTTTTATTCATCAGTGTTTGCCATGCAGTGCTGCTTCAGGCCCTGCTTATGTTTCATGTCAGCTTTGCTTTTGCAGTGGTCATTTCATGCTGTATACATAAAGAGCAGTTCATGGGGTGTAATTCAGTGGTTGAGCACTGTCCTTTGCATGTGGGCGGACCTGGGTTTGGTCCCCAATAACACATCATCATCATCATCATCATCATCATATTTTATACCTGAAATTAATAAAATATAAGAACTATATAGTAATTAAGAAAAACAAAGTAAAATAAAGAGAAATCAGTCTTTAGCTTGCTATGTTAAATTTTGTTTCATGTACATATATGTTATCTGTGATTTATAATATCTGTCTTTCCTTTCACCATAGGATACAACTTTCAACAGTTCTTAAAAGAAACCTGAAAAAATTTGACACCAACACAAGGTACACTTCTTTTATTGTATGTTTTTTGCCCACACCCAGTGCTTAGAACTTACTCCTGGCTCTGTACCCAGGGATCACTCTTGGCAGGGCTCAGGAGACCATGTGCAATACCAGGAATCAAACTGGGGTTGGCCATGTGTAAGGCAAATGCCCTGTGTGCTGAACTGTCTTTCTGACTCACACCTCTGATTTTCTTTTATTTTTTTATTTGGGCCACACCCAGCTGTGCTCCGAGTTTATTCCTATGCTCAGGGAATCACTTCTGGTGGTGTTCAGGGGATGACATAAGGATTGCTGGGGATTGAAACTGGGCCAGCCACATGCAAGGCAGGTGCTCTATCCGCTGTACTATCTCTCTGACCCTCCACATCTCTGGTTTTAAACAGAAATTTAATTGTATCAAATTTTTCTAAGTTTATTTGCTAAATAATGACTTTCTATTCAGATGTGTAATGGATGTTGTCAAAGTAAACATATACTAATTGACTCATTAATTAGACTATTTGTAATATAAAGATTAATAATTGCATTTTTATTTTTTTCAGTGTGCTCCTGAATAACCTGAAACACACATTAGAGCTAAGTAATTCAATAATGAAATCACAGCAGGTAAGTTGCACATTCTGCCGCTTATTTATTTTCAGGATTTTATTAGCAATTTTTTGTGGCTAAACTTCATTGTATATGATTAAATGGGATTGCTCAAGGGAACTGGTATGGTTAGAATTCACTGTTCATAAATTTTCTTTCTTATAATTCTGTTATTTCTAGTGTTGCTTATTACCTGCTGCCTGTCCCTTTTGTTTTCTGGAAATAGCAGAATTGAGAATGAGACTTGAGGGGCTGGAGCAATAGCACAGCGGGTAGGGCTTTGCCTTGCACTTGGCTGATCCGGGTTCGATTCCCAGCATCCCATATGATCCCTGAGCACCCCCAGGAGTAATTCCTGAGTGCAGAGCCAGGAGTAACCCCTGAGCATCACTGTGTGTGGCCCAAAAGAAAAAAAAAGAATGAGACTTGAAGGGCTGGAGTGATAGCACAGTGGGCAGGGTGTTTGCCTTGCATGCGGCCGACCAGGATTCGATTCCCAGCATCCCAAATGGTCTCCCGAGCGCAGAGCCAGGAGTAACCCCTGAGTATCACTGGGTGTGACCCAAAAAGCAAAAAAAAAAAAAAAAAAAAAAAAAAACTTTGTAAATCACAGTGCCTGTACATATAACCAACCAACCTTCCTGCCCTCATTCACTCCTACATGCTCGAGGCCCCAGTTTTGTTCCACGTGACCTGCACCACGTGGCCCACTCACTGAACTGACAGGCCCACACCAGAGTGTCACAGAGTGGTCCCAAGGCCCCAAATACGTTGGGAAAGTCTCCTTTTCCCACTTCCTACAAAAAATAATGGACTTTAATTTTTCCTTTTTAATAACAGGAATCTTGGGATTTGGAGGAAAAACTGTTGGATGTAAGGAAGAAGAGACTGCGTATGTAAAAAAAAGATGTGTAAATTTAAAAAAAAATTTTTTTTTCCTTTTCAAATTTTTTATTTATTTTTTTATTTTGCTCTTTGGGTCACATCCAGTCATGCTTAAGGCTTACTCCTGGCTCTGCACTCAGGAATTACTCCTGGCTGTACTCAGGGAACCATATGGGATACTGGGATTCAAACCACCCTACCCAATACTCTCACTCCAGCCCTCAACGTTTTTTTTGTTTGTTTGTTTGTTTGTTTTTTTAATACCATATTTTCACTTACTGCAGAGATACAGAAGGCCAGGTCTCTCAACCACTGAGAAACTTATTTTCCAATTTTCTCAAAATTCTGGAGCACTGTTCGTGACCTATTAGTCTGCCGTGGCTCATGGGTTCCATTCCAGTGCAACAGAAAGTCCAACGACCCATTTCTGACTGACTTGATTAGACTCTCAGATTAAGGTCTTGGAGACAGAGCACACATAATCTTAAAGTTTTGGACGTGGCAGTTTAAAAATAGGATACAGAATGCAGTTTGCTTGGGTTAAGTCTTGTTGTTTGGTACTCTCCATCACAAAATTAATACATTTTCAGTGGGGGCTGGGAGAATTCATACATTCTCCATGGGGGTTGGGGGAATTAATACATTCTCAGAGATGCAGGAGCATAATGAGAAAGTCGTGCCCCCTTTCCATGTGACCTGGTTAGGCAGGTGTCATTCCCATTTCCTTTGCACCCCATGTAAATATATGTACAAATATAGGACTTATTTTATGTGTGTGCACCTGACTGCTCAGAGCTTACTCCTGGCTCTATGGTCTGGGGACCATATGTGGACCGAACAAGTGTTACCTGCACACAGGGTAATCACCCCATTCTATCTTTCTGGGCCCTTAAACACCTTTTTTCCCTGTGACTTTTGGGGTCACTCCTGGCGATGCTCAGCGGTTACTCCTGGCTCTGCACTCAGGAATTATTCCTGGTGATTCTTGGGATACTATATGGGATGCTGGGGCTTGAAGCCAGGTCGGCCACGTGTAAGGCAAATGCCCTACCACCTTTACTGTTGCTCTGGCCCCTTAAACACTTACTGAATTTGTATTTTCAAAAGTAATACACATTTTCTGGAGAATTTGCAGTCAGAAAAATATATGTGGATAAAGTAAAGTGTGTGTGTGTGTGTGTGTGTGTGTGTGTGTGTGTGTGTGTGTGTTGGGGACCATACCAGGTGGTGCTCAGGGCTTTCTCTTGGCTCTGTGCTCAGGAATCACACTGGTGTCACTCAGGGGGCCATATACCATGCTGGGAATCAAACTCAGGTTGGTCATGTGCAAGGCAAACCCTTTATCCACTGCCTTGGCCATGTACTGTCTCTTCCGGATTTTTTTTGTTGTTATTATGTTTTTTTCTTATTGATTGGGGGGGCGGGCACACCCAACAGTGTTTAGGAATTATTCCTGACTCCTGGCAGTGTTCCAGGTACCATACGAAAGACTGCTGGGTTCGAGACAAGTGTGTACCACCTCTGTACTATCTCTCCAGCTTTTTACTATTTTTTTTTAAATAGTAAAAGAGAAAATTCTATTTTGCTATAAAAATGCAATCAATTTTCAGTGTTTAATTTGAGAAGGAGGGAGTGAGGGGTGCTGTGGGCCACAGCTGGTGGTGCTCAGGGCTTACTGCTGGCTTTCTGTTTGGGAATCACTCCTGGCCGGGTCCAGGGGACCATATGTGGTGCTGGAGACCAAACCCTGGTCAACTGCATTCAAGGCAAATGTTTTTCCTGCTGTTCTCTCTCTCTCTCTCTCTCTCTCTCTCTCTCTCTCTCTCTCTCTCTCTCTGGTCCGTAACATTTAAATTTTTCTCTTGACTGAAATAACCAGAAACTATTCTGCTTCATAATTTTCAAGATACTCTTGGGGCTGGAGAGAGAGTACAGCAGGTAAGGCACTTTCCTTGCAACCCACTGACCCCAGTTCAGGTTGCCAACCACCTGTAGGCGTGACCCCTGAGCATCACTAGGTCTGGGCCTTTCCTCAAGATTCCCCCTTGTATTATTGTCACTTCTAATATATTGTTTTATTTTTAACCAAATAGAACTAAAACAAGCTTCAGAAAGTAAGTTTTCAGAAATACAGGCTGAAAAGAACAAACAGAAAGAGGATCTGGATAGTATGGGACATTCAGACAAGATAAAGGCCATAAAACAGAACCTACAGATGGAGATACATATCACCACGGTTGTTCAGAATGTGTTTCAGGTAACTTTGGTATACTGGGAAGGGAGAAGTCTTTATAAGTACATTCCTTTCAGTGCATACGCTTGAAGGGAGTGTATCGACATACTTTCAGTTTTTGTTGTTGTTTTTTGTTTTTTTTGTTTTTTTTGTTTTTGCGAAGCAAGATAGTTTTTATTTATTGAAACTTAACTTAGAAAGGTGTAGAGTGGTAGGGGAGAAGGAAAGAAATTCATGTTCAAGAGAGAACATAAGCTCAAATGGGCAGAGAGACAGCAAGCAAGCTACATGTTCAGGGGAAAACTCAGGTATGAAGAGCAAGCCGGTTTCTTATCTCAACAAGATAATTCAGAACTGGATATTGGTATTTTTACATATGTCTAGGTTTATTGTTATGTTTCTTTGTGGTTTGTTTGGGGGCCACACTTGGCTGCTCAGGATGACTCCTGGATCTGTGCTCATGGATCATTCTGGGTGGGGCTCAGGTATCATATGGGCTTCTGGATAACGGAGCCAGGACAGGTGTCTGCATGGCAAGCACCTTACCCCAATGCTATCTCTCTGTCAGTCTTTTCTTTCTCTTTCTCTTCTTGTTTTGTGCCATGCCCAGCAGTTCTCGGGGCTTACTCCTGATTCTGCGCACAGGGAGCACTCCTGGTGGTTTTCAGGGGAACAGCATGTGGTGCTGGGTATTGAAATGGGGTCAGCCATATACATAGTTTAACTCCTTAACCTCTGTAGTACCTCTTCTCTATAATTTACCTTTTCTAAGCATCGCTTTCCTTGTTAGTGTAGTTGTGAAAGCCAAAAAGGATGGTTTATGTTAATCTTTTAGCACAATGTTTGATTCAGGTAATTTCTAAATAAATGTTGGCAGTTCTGTCCATTTCCTATTTTAATGTATTATTTAGTCTGGAGTGTTCACAAAATATTTTACTGGTTAGGAGACCTTGGGAACCATCTGGTGCTTCTAGGCCAACAGGGCCAGTAGCTCAGTGCAGAGGCCTGAAGTCTTGGGTACATGAGGCATCCCAACAGAGCTTAGGAGCCCCCAGAAGCGTATTTGGAGGTCCGCGGGGTCTGTAGAGCTGTACTAGGTGATGCTGGCGGGACCCTGTGGTGCTGGGCATCAACCTAGGGTCAGCTCATGCAGGGAAGGCACATACCTTCACCCTAGCACTATCTCCAGCCCTAATCCTGAGGCTTTTATTTGTTATTTTGTTATCTCTTGAGACTATCAGTTTTAAACTTTGAGGGCGTATAGTTGAACTTTTGTTATATCTGTAGAGGATGTCCTTGTGGAGTGTGACATCCTGTTTCCCCTGTGCTCTTTGTTTGTTGTGTTGAAGCCACACCTAACAGTGATCAGTGGCTACCCCTGACTCAATGCCTGGGTTTTACTGTGGTGAGTCTGGGGACTTATCGCTTGAACTGGCCAACACCCCTAAGCAGAGCATTTGCTCCACCTGACCCCATCCCTGTGGAGTGTTTTGTTTTCTTTGTTTTGGGACCATGTCTGATGCAGTACTCAGGACTTACTCCTAGTTCTGTGCACAGGGATCACTCTTGGAAGGCTCAGAGGATCATTTGAGGTGCCAGGGAACCCAGGTTGGGCACATGCAAGGTGAGTGCCTTACCCAGTGTACTATCACTGTTTTAAGTGGAGGTAAGGGACCAGAGTGATACTACAGTGGGTAGGGTATTTGCCTTGTACACGGCCGACCTGGGTTTGACCTGGGCATCTCATACTGTCTCGTGAATCCACCAGGAATGATTCCTGAGTTTAGAGCCAGGAGTGATTCCTGAACACAACTGGGTGTGGCCCAAGAGCTTCCTTGCAAATAAAGTGGAAATGAAGAGGCCAGAGTAGGTGGGGCGCTTGCCTTGCAAACGGCCACTCAGGTTTGATCCAAGCACCCCATAAGGTCCCCTAAGCACTGCCAGGATTTATTCCTGAGTGTAGAGTCAGGAGTAACCCCTGAATATTGTTGGGTGTGGTGCAAAATCCAAAACTTAATTTTTTTTTTAAAAGTAGAAATAAAGAATCAAAACTATTATTGGGGATAGGATAGGCTAGAGAAAGGGATTAAGCACATACAACATATTCTATATGATGTCCTGGCTTGAAGGCACTGCTTAGTCCCCTGAGCATCATCAGGAGCCAGAAATAGTTTCTGAGCCATGCTGGGTGTGCCCTCTCCCCCTCCAAATCTACTGTGTTTTTTTTTTCTGAGGGGGGGGGCTCTTTTTGGGTCATACCTGGCAATACTCGGGGGTGACTTCTGGCTCTACACTCAGAAATTACTCCTGGCGGTGCTCGGAGGACTATATGGGATGCTGGGGATCTAACCTGGGCAAATGCCCATCCTGCCATATTTTCTTCACTCCAGACCCTCTCCTGTTTTTTGTCTTATTCCAGGGTAAGTGCTCACAACCAGTCATTGTTCAATAAGTATTTGCTAAGAACAATGGGGAAAATTTTTTAAATTCTGTACATTTTTTTTTCTGAATACTTCAATGAATATATATTTTTTTAAATTACAGAACCTCATTTTGGGGAGTAAAATCAATTGGGCAGAGGATCCTGTCCTGAAGGAAACTGTTCTTCAGCTTGAAAAGAACCTCAGCAAGATCTTATAAGAATTCTGTTTTGGACTAGAGAGAGATCATACGTTTTCCACAGAATCCAGAGTCAACTAGCCTTCGTGTACAACAGGTGTGGTCCAAACCCCTTTTCCACGCAAAAAATTCTGTTTTGTTATTTTGACTTTGTCTTTTATATGTCATTTCAAAAGAAACTTTTAAGTGAAATGGTTTTTTCAATGTGTTTAAAAGTAATGTAATGCTGCAGAATTGATTCTTTTTAGCTTGAGTTAGCACTGTAACAGCAAATTGCGATGAACTTAATTGTTTTAAATATGATCATTAAAGTGACTGCTTGCTTTAAAAGAATCTGAAGTTCTTTGCCTTTGAAGTGTCCTAAAGGATGTGCCAGAGTGATGGGACAGAAGGCAGAGTGCTTGCCTTGCACATGGTTGACCTGAGTCCAATCCCTGACATTGCATATGTCCCCTGAGCACTGCCAGGAATAATCCCTGAGCACTGCTGGGTATGCCTTCTTCCCCGCCCCCCTCAAAAAAGGAAGTCCTAAAGAACATCTAACCTAACTTTGTACTGAATATGGATATTTTATTCTCCAACATTCCTGAGTATTTCAGTTCTCATTTGGAGTACTCATATGCATTTATTTATTTGCCAAAATATTAGGAAAGCATTTCTTTAAACAGAAAAATAAGGCCTTACAACCTGGGAGAAAAGTAAAGCATATCCACAGCCATAGTAATCATGGTTGTACATTGGGAGACTGTGACTCTGAAAAGATTTTCTAGGAATGGAGTGAAAGTACCACAGGTAGATTACTTGCTTTGCATGTGGCAGACCTGGATTCAATCCCCGGCACCCCATATGGTTCCCTTTGCCCACCGGGAGTGATCTCTGAGCATAGAGCCAGGAGTTAAGTCCTGAACAGAACTGGGTTTGACCCAAAACCTGAAAGGGGGAAAAAAAAACATAACTCTGTGGAAATATTGCCGTATATTAAAGTACTTATCTGGTTTTAGTTGTCCCCTTGGTGACAAGGAAGGCATTTTTTGTTAGGAGTAGAACCCGGAGCCCTGTGCATGCGAGGTACTTGCCCTTTGGGCCTTCTCTATGCTCTTACAAGGATCATTCTGAAACTCACCCTCAAATATACATGGTGGGGAGTGACCAAAGAAAGACATTCTCTGCAGGATTGGTGGATAGTGAAACTGAATGAGGCCAGGCTGTCTTGGTGTATCAGAAAGCCGGATAATTGGGACTGGAGCCATAGTACAGCAGGTAGGGTACGTGTCTTACATGTGGACCACCAGGTTCAATCCCCAATATCCCATGTAAGGTGCACAGCTGTGGCAGACCTCAGTTCCGAACGGAACTGTTCTGCCCCTCCCCAGTCCTCAACCCCTCCACCAAGAGTGACCCATGATTACAGAGTTCTGCCAGGAACGCAAAAAGTGGATCACCCTGGGGGAATTGTGGGTTTGTGTGACTCAAACCCACACACCAAAAAGAAAATAGAACCCAAAGTTAAAAACAAATCAATGAAAGTATGAGTAGAAAAATAACAGGAGGGGCTGGAGCGATAGCACAGCACATAGGGCATTTGCCTTGCATGCAGCCAACCGGGGCTCTATTCCCAGCATCCCATATGGTCCCCTGAGCACCGCCAGGAGTAATTCCTGAGTGCAGAGCCAGGAGTAACCCCTGAGCATCGCCGTATGTGACCCAAAAAGAAAAAAATAAGAACTGGTTCCTTTTTAGACTGGAGCCTCCCAAGCAGTGCTCCGAGGACCAGGGCCATTCCTGGTGATACTTGGCAACCAGGAATGACTGTTCAGTGCTCAGGGACCATCAGGGGTAGTGGTGCTCAGGACTCTCCAGGCTGCACCAGGCAGTGTTGGTGGCCAAGCCGGTTCTTTGAAAAATTCAACAAAACGTGTTAATTTTGTTACAATTGACTGATAGAGAAAGCAGAAATGTCCAATATCAGGAATGAAACAGGAATGTTACTATAGGCAGTACAGATATCAAAAGAAGGTGACAATTATGAATATGTATTCAATAAATTAAACTACATAAACCGATAGCACAGCGTTAGGGCGTTTGCCTTGCATGCAGCCAATATGACCGACCCGAGTTCGATTCTTCCACCCCTCTGGGAGAGCCCGGCAAGCTACCGAGAGTATCTGGCCCGCACAGCAGAGCCTGGCAAGCTACCCGTGACGTATTCAATATGCCAAACACAGTAACAACAAGTCTCACGATGGAGACATTACTGGACCCGCTCGAGCAAATCGATGAACAACGGGAGGACCGTGACCGTGACCGTAAAACCACTTCCTTAAAAATATTAGCTACCTTGAAGAGATAGTACAGGGATTAAGGAATTTGCCTTGTGTGAAACTGAGTTGGGTTTGATATCCAGCACCCCTTAGAGTGCCCTGAACACTTTCAGGAATTATCCATGAGCAAAAAGTCAAGAGTAAAAAAATAAAATGAAATAAAATAAAATTTGTATGTCTGGTAAAAAAAAAAAGTAAAGAGTACTGAGTGCTGCTGCGTGCAGCCCCAAAACAAACTGCTACAACATACTCAACACATACAGTCTGAATAGTAGAATAACTACCAAGAAAATTGAATTTGTAATTTTTAATTATTAGTATCCTCTTTTCCTTCCCTCTTTGTTTGTTTTGGGCCACACACGGAGACACTCAGGGCTTACTCCTGGCTCTTTATCAGGGACCACTTCGGATGGGAACCCGGGGATCAAACCCTGATCTGCTGTGTGCAAAACCACTGTACTATGTCTCTGGCCCATAGGGTCATCCACTTTTCATTTTGGGGCTCACTGAGGTTTCACATTTCTTCTAGTTGCAGTGTTGACATATTCTTGGCTGTCCTGTACTGAAATTGCATACCCTGTGGCATTAGAGGTTTCGAATGGCAGTGACACCAGGGTCATATTCGGCATGCGGAATGGTACCAACGATGGGACTCATGAACTGTGGATCACACCTGCAAGGCTCAGCCACTGAAGTGCCCTTGGGCCTCTAAATTTTTATTTTTGCTTTTGGGGTGTTTAGTTTTTTGGGGGGCCACATGACTGCTCAGAAATTCTGCTTTGTGCTCAGGGATCACTTCTAGTGGTGTTCAGGGGACCATGCATGCAGGGCTCAGGATTAAACCCAGGGTTGGCTGCATGCAAGGCAAGTGCTTTATCCCCTGTACTATCTCTCCAGCCCCGATTTTTTTCTTTTTAGACTCAAATGGTTCCATTCGAGTTTTTTACCAAACACTGAAGAATTACCACAGATGAGTGGATAAATAAAATACACTATATACATGTAACGCAGTGTGATTTGTCCTTAAAAAAGAATATCCTGACACTGTATGAAATAGTTGAATCTGCGCCAATGAAGTTACATCATACAAAACTCTGAAGTCCAAAACTGAAGTCAAAATCTTGGCAAGTTCTACCTCTATTTTCCTCAATGTTTAACAGAGAGATAGATATGTTATTAATGTCTTTACTCCATTTTGAGTTAGTCTTTATGTGTGATGTGAGTTAGAGAGTCTGCATTCATTTTTTTGCATGGGCAGATTTCCTGGCACCATTTGTTTAACCGGCTTTCCTGCTCAGTTTCGTGCATTTAGCCTTTTTGTTGTGAATTAACTGTTCATACATTTGAGGGTTTATAGCTGGACTCTCAATTCTATTCTGTTGATTTTATAAAATAAAGAAAGAAAATAGGCATTGTGAAGGTATTGTGCTTTTTGAAATAAACTGGTTGCTAAAAAACAAATACTGTATGATTCCATGAGTAGTCAAATTGATAATGAAAAAGTCATTGTTGGTTTTTCCGAGTTGAAGAGAGGGGAATTTATTTAATATTTAATTTATTGGGTACAGAGTTTTGTTAGGGAAGGTGAAAAAAAGAGGAAAAGTTCCGGAAGTGGTATAATTGTATAGGAATATGAATGTACTTAACCATACTGAACCATGAAATTTATTTCATTTTTGTTTTGTTTTGTTTTGGTGGGGAGTGGGAGGTCACACCTGGCGGTGCTCAAGAGGTTATTCCTGGCAGTGCTTGGGGAACCATATGGGATGCTGGGATGGAACCCTGGTCGGCTGCATGCAAGGCAAGTCCTTTAGCCACTATACTATCGCTTTGGTCCCTGAAATATGAAATTTATTTGGGGGTAGGGGTGTGTGTCAGTGGTAGAGCACTCATGCCAAACCCAGCTCAAGGATGGGGTTGGATTACTGGGCTTTCTTAGCATTCTGCACCAAAAAGTATCAAGTGCTGGGGCTGGAGCAATAGCACAGCAGATAGGGCGTTTGCCTTGTATGTAGCCAACATGGACGACACAGGTTCGATTCCCAGCACCCCATATAGTCCCCTGAGCACCGCAAGGAGCAATTCCTTAGTGCATGAGCCAGGAGTAACCCCTGAGCATTGCCGGGTGTGACCCAAAAAGGGAAAAAAAAAGTATCAAGTGCTTTTTGACCTGGCCCATGTTCCTTCCGCTGAGTTAGCATCACCGTCCCCTCCCTCTGTAAAATCAGCCAACTATAAGCCTGAATAAATGGCCAGAGAATTTGACAGTGAAAAACCAGTCCCAGAAGCCAAGTATTTGAGTGAAATACCAATCCCACATGTGGGATTTCATTACAACATCCTTCAAAGAAGATGATCGAGAAAGAGACCATGGGTCAAGGAGGACGGAAGGGTGGGAGAAAAGTGGACACATTTGTAGATGGGCAGCAGAACAGATGCTTGTGTCGGTGGGACTGTTCTTTATACTGATTATCAATGAGAATTGTCCTGGTTATGATCTTGTGCTGTTTCGCAAGATATCTCTGGGCAAATCTAGGTAAAGGGTACAGGTGATGTTATTCTTACACTTGCATGTGAGTTTACAAGGATCTCAGTAATTTTTCAAATTGAAATGTCTGCATTGTGACAAAACACAGTGTGCTAAACTCACTACTATTATATTTTGGTGTTGGGGAGAGTGAGAACCCACAAGTCTTATACATGCAGAGTGTTTGGTCTACCACCGAATTCTATTCTTGGTCAGAAAAATTATTTGGTGGGGGACCGCCCAAGCAAGACTTGGGAACTGAAAGCTACTCATGTATATCAGATCTCTTGCTGTTCAGGCCCAGCAGAGCTGAAGGCAACAAGGACCACCCTAGTGGTGCTTGGGGGACCATGGGGTTCAGGGGAGCAAAGTTGGTACATCTTAATGCCAGGCATGTACTTGAGTCCTTTGAGCAGGAAGTACCCAGCCACCCAAAAACTTCATTTCTAGGGCCAGAGAGATAGTGTAGAGGTTAAGGCACTTGTCAGACATGTGGTTGGTCCTAATTTGATCCCCAGTATAGCATATGGTTCCCTGTATCCCACCAGGAGTGATCCCTCAGCACAGCTGGAAGTAAGCCCTGAGCACTGCTAGGTGAGGCTCAGTATTTATAAACAAAACCCTGGGGCTGGAAAGATAGTACAGTGGGAGGGTCCTTGCCTTGCACACAGTCAACCAGGTTCAATTCCCCAGCAAGACCCAGGCTTAATTCCTCAGCATCCCATATGGACCCCTGAGCACTGCCAGGAGTGAGTGCAGTCAGGAGTTACCCCTGAGTACCACCAGGTGTGGCCCCCAAGCCAAACAAAACCTTTTATTTGTGGTGGGCTTGTGGGGGCAATCTGGCTGTACACAGGACTTCCTCCTGGCTCTGTGCTGGGGGAGTCACTCCTGGCAGGGCTTAGAGGACTGTATGTGGTGCTGGAGATTGAACCAGGGCCAGTAGTCAGGCAGCCATATAAGATGCCAGGTAAGCACCTTAACCTCTGCACTATCTCCCCAGCAACCCAAAACTCGTTTCTTTATTTTCTGGTCTAGAAGCTGCTCAGCTCCACAACTACCTGAATATCTGAATGCAAGCTGTTCCCTTTTATTTCTGTTTGCAAAATGGACAATATCTCTTTTATTATACTTGGCATAGTTCCAGTACTCTTGACTGTGGTATGCCCAGAGGCTATTCTTTATATGCTCTAATCTCAGAAGTGTACATGATCATTCTAAGTTATCTCCAGGTACTTCTCCCAAATGGAATGATTGTAATTTTTCCAAGACTCTTGATATTAATTTCATTTTTGCTCAAGCCTTATCACCAAGTTAACATAGTAGATTTTAGATTTTGTTGTGTGCCAATTTTTTTTTCTTTTGTTTACATTGGAGCCATACCCAGAAGACACTCAGGTTAGTCTTGGCTATGTGCAGCTCAGTCCATTGAGCTATCTTTTAAGCCCATCAGATGCTAGTTTCTCTATTAGGATGATCAACAGCCTAGCTGCTGCAACAGACAAAACTGAGTTTGCACTATACAGGCTTTTCTCACCTTTATGCAGAATCCTGTGTAATTGTGTCAATACAGTTTAAGCTACACCACTTGAATCCCACAGCCTCCGAGTAATTGCAACAGGGTAAACATGAGGTAGGAAAGGCTATAGTGGACTGGAGAGAGAGATCAGGGGCGAAGTGTTTGTCAGTCATGTGCAAGACAAGCACCTTGATCCTTATACTCTCTCTCCAGCCCTAATGTCTAGTTTTTAATAATGCAGAGTATGTCACACTGAATTAACTATCATTAAAAACACATATTTTTAATATGGAGCAATAGCACAGTGGGTAGGGTGATTGCCTTGCACGCGGCCGACCCGGGTTCGATTCCTAGCATCCCATAAGGTCCCCCGAGCACAGCTAGGAGTGATTCCTGAGTGCAAAGCCACCCCTGAGCATCACAGGGTGTGACCCAAAAAGCAAATAAATAAATAAAAACACATACAAGAGTGGGGCCGGAGTGATACCACAGTGGGTAGGGTGCTTGCCTTACACACAGCCTACCTGGGTTCTCTTCCTGGCATCCCGTATGGTGCCCCCAAGCACTGCCAGGAGTAATTCCTGAGTACAGAGCCAGGAGTAGCCCCTGAGCACCACCAAAACAAAAAACAAAACATATGCAAAAATATTTGTAGAACAAATTCCCTGAAGTGTGCTAAACAAGATGATAAATCATTGATTATTTTGCATTTAAAACTTGCCAAGTTATAGGGTCAGCGACAAAGTTGAGTGCTAGAGACTTGCCTTGCATGAAGCCAACCCAGTTTGATCCCTGAAGTTGTTTATGGTGCTTGGAATCCCAGGTACTGCCAAAAGTTATTCCTGAACACAGAGCCAGAAATAACTCCTGAGCATTGCCAGGTGAGGCCCCAAAACAAAACAATAATTGCCAAGTTTGGGCTGGAGAGAAGTAAGCAGATAGGGCTGACCCAGATAATTAATTTGAGTGTTTCTCTACAGACTTACTGAATCAAAGTCCGCGTTTGAGTTTAGTACATTATACTTCTAAAAAACTTCTCAGGTTTAGAAACACCATCAAAACAGATGTGACATTCAAACTATTTACATTAGCTTAAAGCTACCTTAGCTACAGATACATAAATGCCCATGATACATTGATAATCCAAACTATAAAGTTTTAATAGAGATAGGGGGCTGGAGCAATATCACAGGGGGTAGGGTGTTTGTCTTGTACACAGCTGACTCAGGTTCGATTCCCAGCATCCCATTGCCAGGTGTGACCCAAAAAGAAAAAAGTTAATATAGATAATAAAACTTAATATAACTGTAAGAATGGTATGGATGGCTGATGATTCAAAAAGAAAAACTTGGGCCTCAAAAGGCTGGAGCACATGTTTTACATGCTGGAGTCCCCCTGAATCTCAGGCATAGTATGACGCCAGTGTTCAGTAAGCACCAGTGGGTGTACTTTGCATACCCAAATCTAAAACATCTCATTTGTTTTTGTCTGGGGGCTACAAGCAGCAGTGCTCAGGTTTATTCTCTGTGCCTGGGAGGACCATACATATTGGGATTGGTACCTGGGTCCACTGCGTGAAGGGCAAGTGTCCTACCCACACTACTATGGCTCAAACCTCAACACTACAACTTTCACTTAGATTCAATCAACAAGACTGCTAAAGTCAGGATCAAAGGTAACAGAAGGCCACATGAAACCATGCTTGGGACCGTGAAATCCCTTCCTTTACAACTGGCATCTACCACTCTCTCTAGTGCCCCATATATATAATTCACTTGAGGAAGTAGCCAGTTGTATTACTTGGTTTTAAATTGAATTTTGGCTATCTGGAAAGGACATGTTTCCACATCACACAAAGCTAATGGGGAACTTAGACAAATCATCAATGGTTAAAACAACAACAACAACAGTAGAAAACATAATTCCACACTTGTATGTTCATTGCAGTACTATTCACAATAGCTAGAATCTGGAAACAATCTAAGTACCCAAGAACAGACGACTGGTTAAAGGAATTCTGGTACATCTACACAATGGAATACTATACAGCTGTTAGAAAAGATGAAGTCATGAAATTTGCTTATAAGTGGATGGACATGGAGTATCATACTTTGTGAAATGAGTCAGAAAGAAAGGGACAGACATAGAATAAGTTCACTTATTTGTGGAATATAAAATAACATAGTGTGAGACTAACACCCAAGGACAGTAGAGACAAGGGTCAGGAGAATTGGTCCGTGGTTGGAAGCCTGCCTCCTGCTGGTGAAAAAGGCAGCTGGGATGGAGAAGGCACCACTAAGCCAATGATGATTGGAGGTTTAGCTTCGGATGGAAGATGTGTGCTGAAGGACAAAACATGACGACCTCTTAGTATCTGTATTATAAACCATAATGCCCTAAAGTAGAGAGAAAGTGCCTTCCATAGAGGCCGGGGTGGGGTGAGGTGGGGGTGGCATGAGGGATACAGGGGACATTGATGGTGGAAAATGTACACTGGTGGAAGGATGGGTGTTTGGTCATGTATGACTGAAATTCAATCATGGAGGCTTTATAACTATCTCATGGTGATTCAAGGAAGGAAGAAAGGGAGGGAGGGAGGGAGGAGAAAGGAGAGAAAGGACGAAAGAAAAAGGAAGAGAGAAAGAAAGAGAAAGAGAAAGAAAGAAAGAAGGAAGGAAGGAAGGAAGGAAGGAAGGAAGGAAGGAAGGAAGGAAGGAAGGAAGGAAAGAAGGAAAGAAGGAAAAGAGCTCCTGGGGCAGTTCCTAGGCGAGAAGAGAAGGGGCGGAGTCAGGCGCGGCGGGGTGTGGCCAGCGGCGCGGTGGGAGGGGCTTCCAGCGTCGCCTCGCCCCTCCCCGTGACGCCAGCGCCCGCCCGCCCCCGGCTGCCGAGACTTTAGTTAGCAGAGCGGGACGCGAGCGCCCCGGAAGCTGCCCCTTCTCGGGGGTCATGATGGGCAGCAAGATGGCGTCTGCCAGCAGGGTCGTCCAGGTAAGAAGCTTCCGTGGCCTTTCGGCGCCGGGGGGGGGGCGGCACTCTTGTGGTGCCCGCAAGAGTCACGGCGCCGGGGAGGAAAGGCGGCGGCGGCGGCGGCTGGCGGAGACCGCGGCCTGGCGGGGCCGGCGGGGGTGCCCGGGGGGTGGGTGTGGGAGCTGGCACCTGAGCCCGAGGGGCCGGGCGGCGGTGCGGGGCCCGGGGGGGGGCCGGGGGCCGGGGGCCGGGGCGGGTGGGCGCGGAGAGCCCGGCCGCCCTCCGCCGGGACCACGTTCCTCCGCGGAGTTGCGGGCTCGCCGCTCCGGCCGGGCCAATGGGCGGCTGGCGCTGCCCGTGCTGTGCCCGCGCGGCCAATCGGGAGGCAGGCGGGCGCCGCGAGGGAGAGGAAGCGGCCCCGGCCTGACCGGTGTCCCTTCAAGGTCTCGGCCGTGACCCCGCGCCGGCCCGCGGTGCCCTCGCCCGGGGCCACTTCCTCACGACCCGCGTCCGCGTCTGGCTCCGGACCAGGTCGGAGCAGAATGGGCGAGCAAGAAGCAAAGGCCGTTTTTCGTTCATCGTATAGGTTTAGCGTCGCGCTGCCCGGGCTTGTGCTTTGGAGCTTAGAGAGGCGCGTTAGAGGGACTGTATTGTCCACCCAGGTATCAGTCATCGACGCCTGACAGCCGGTGCGCGTGCTTCCCCGCGGTGGTCGCTAGCCGGAGTGGGAGAGGTGAAGTAGGTTTATGCAAGGTTTGCAAGACTACTTGTATGTGGCTGTTTCATAGGACTTACTTTGTAATGCAGGAAGTGTAGTGTGGTATGGCCACCCTTCGATTCCATGTCAGAAATGCACTTCTTTTTGCACAGCGCATTTTATTATTGTTTTGGTGCTTACAGTAGGGGATGGTGGGGGGGGGAGACGACGCGACACGACACGACCCCTGCAGTGCTGTGGAGGAAGCCGGGTCTTCTCCCTTATACTCTCTCTCCACCCTCATCTCTTCAATGACCTAATTTTAAGCTGAAACAGTGAGAACGATAACCCCAGATCACAGTGTTTGTTCCCATTGCGGAAATAAACCTCATTTACTTATTGGGAAGTTTATTTTGCGGGAAATTACTGAATGTTTGTGAAGATTCTCTGGGGATAAAAGGAACATCTAGCAAAGGACAAGTATCTTTTGATATATTGATAGCTGGGTTTAAAATTGGATTAGTGGGCAAAAAACATATGAATGATGTGTGGTAGATTTGTTACAATGAGGGTAGGACACAGTAATCACAACTACTGATACATGCAAGAAAGGGGGCTTAGAGATATAAGGAATGGTCTCGCTCCTAAAGTGTACAAAAACTCATGCCCATATTCATAATGCAAAGAAAATTGCTGACAGTATGCAATAATTGTGTTCTACTTGGGGCAGGAAAGATTTAACAGTGAATAGGGCACTTGCCTTGCACTAGGCTGACCTGGGTTCAATCTCTGGTATTCCATATGGTCCCAGGAGCACCGCCAAGAGTAATTTCTGAGCACTGAAACTGGAGTAACCCCAAGTACAGCCAACTGGGTTCACCCCCCTCCCCCCCCCCACACACAGAGCATTAATTGCATAGCACTGTAGAAAAAAAAGTTAAATGGTGTGGAGAGCACACAGCTGTGCTCAGGAACTGCGCCCCAGGATCCCTCCTGATAGTGCTCAGGAAAAATGTGTGGTGCTGGGATTGGCTTGTAGTGGCCACAGCTGCATGAGAAGCTGGCACCTTACTTAACCTTTGTACTCTCTCTCCAGCCCAGCAAAATTTCTTGAGTATCTTTGATTGAGGCCTTTGCTCATACTGAATTATGGTGCCAAGATGAACGTGGTGTCTCCATAGAGCTGAATTTGGCTGTTGATCCAAAATTTGAAGAAAGAATAGTATTTCAACAGACTGGCACAGACTGTTTGGAATTCACAAAATATCACATTGTTAAGTAGGGAGGTTTGTGCTGTAGGGTAGCACTGTAGCACTGTCCTCCCATTGTTCATCGATTTTGCTCGAGGGGCCCACTAACGTCTCCATTGTGAGACTTGTTGTTACTGTGTTTGGCATATCGAGTACATCACGGGTAGCTAGCCAGGCTTTGCCGTGCAGATGAGATACTCTCGGTAGCTTGCCGGGCTCTCCGAGATGGGTGGAGGAATCGAACTGGGGTCGGCCCTGCCAGCCACATGCAAGGCAAATGCCCTCCCACTGTGCTATCGCCCCAGCCCCTACTGTAGGGTATGCAGAAGGAATTTTAGGAGAATATAGGTACAAATTCAATATCTAATACCAAAAAGTACATATTTGGTACATTTGGGCAAATAAAAGAATAGACAGGTGCTGGTGTTTCAGTCAGGAAATAACTTGCATGAGGCATAGGAGGAGGATGGTGGTTAGACTGATTCAGGGTATAAATTTGTACAAGGGAGGTGAAAGCAAGAAAACGGTGAGACAACGTTGAATACTGTGGGTTATAGCCAGATACAAGGGAAAGGATGGAAAGAGTGATTGGAAGGAAAGGGAACAACAGAAATGAAAGGGTTTGGAACTGATAGTGTAGAGTCTATAAGAGAAAAGGCTCAGTTGTCTGCATGCAGCAGATCCTATTTTTATCCCCAGCACTGTATCTGATCCCCTGTGCACCACCAGGACTAGCCCTTGAGCACTGACAGGTGTGGCCCCAGTTTCCCTCCCATAAAGGGAAATAAAGGCAAAGAACCTGTCAGAAGTTAAAACTAAACGAGAAGTAACATAAAAGATGAGCAGTGAACTGAGCCAGTAAAGTTGACAAGTTGGTAGAATCTTAGTGAAATTATTAGATTTTTTAAAAAAACAATAGTGATCCAGCCAACAAAACCCAGCACTCTCAAGGCTTTGAAGATCATTGAAGTCATGTGAATAAATGTGAGAAGCTTGAAAATGGCTAAAAGTTTTGAAAAGACACTTTATTTTATTTATTTTTTGATAGAAGATGGAAAGCTTCTCCTTCAGCTTTATTTTTATTAATATATTTATTTGGCTTTGGGGCCTTACTTAATGGTCTCAGGGTTTACTCCTGGCTCTCTGCTTAGGAATCACTCCTGGCAGGCTCAGGGTACTATATGGTATGCCAGGGATTGAACCCAGGTTGACTACATGCGAGACAAATGCCCTATCTTCTGCACTATCTCTAGCTCCTGGAACAGACACTTTATCAAACATAAACAGATGTCAAATAAGCATATGAAAAAGGGTACATCATGTGTTCTTAGGAAATTGCAGATTAGAATAATAATGAGATTCTACTACATTCCTATGAGAATGGCTAAAATCTAGAACCCTGGTAAAACAAAATCCTGATAAACATGTGAAATAGTTCTATTCATTGCATTGGGATTGAATTTTTAATAATACAGCTGTTTTGGAATTTAGATAGGCAGTTTCCTACTGAAGAACCCATACTTTTATCAGAATATAATCCAACAGTCACATTCTTTGGTATTTACCCAGATGAGTTGAGAATTTAATACCACACATGGTTGTGTAAAGTGTACAGTAGTGTTTCTTTTAGTTGCCAGTTGGTAGTAGATAAGTAAAATTCAAACTTTAAAGCTTTTTATATTAGCCAGAGAGATAGTATATAGGGGTAAGGTGCTTGCCTTGCTTGTGGCTGACCCTGCTTTAATCCCTGGTACTGTGTGGTCCCCTGACGATCACTGAGAGTGAACTCCCTAGTGTAGAGCCAGGAGTAAGCCTTGAGCACGGCGGGATGTGGCCCAACCTTTTCCAGCCACAAAATACTAAAGGCTAAAGTTCACAGTTAAGATTTGTAATTACTGGGCTAGAAGATAACCGCAGAGGTCAGTGGCACATGACTTCCATGTACACACACAGCCACCCAGGGCTTCCATTTCTTTGGAGTGTCTCCCCAGCCCCGAACAATAGTTTTTTATCCCCTGAAAACTATTAAGATGTTTAGGATATCATGGAACTAAAGTTGGTTTTTGTTTGTTTGTTTTCTGTCATTGACGGGGCGTAAAGAGGAGGAAGGAATAAGTGCTCGGGATGCAGAGCTTTCTCTCCAGCCAATTTGAACCCTGTCCCTGACCGCAGAGGGGGCCTTTATTAGTGTTTGGTTTGGGGGCACAGCTGGTGATGTTGGGACCTCCTCCCTTCTCTGCTCCTCGTGGTGCTAAGGGGACCCTGCAGTGCTGGGATGGAACCTGGGTGCAGCTCTTGAGCTCCCTTTCCAGTGCTCAGGAGGAGTTTTAAAATCTTTCGGAATCTGGAAGCTGAATAGAAGCTTGTCATTTGGACGAATTTACAAGAGTCAGTCTAGAGAAAGGGGAAGCCTCAAAGTTGGTGGGGGTTAAGGAGAGTTTTCTGGGCAGTGAACACTAGCTCTAGATTGAATAGGAAGAGAAATGGCATGAAGAATTTGGTCATTGCAAGCTCTTCAGAACACCTGTAATAGGGGCGGGAGAGAGAGGTGACACGGTGGATAAGGTGCTTGCCTTCACGCAGCTGACACAGGTTTGAACCTCCATTTCATAGAGGATCCCCAGTACAGCCCAGGAGTGGCCCAACAACTCCCCCCCCGACACACACACCCAAAAACAAAAGCACTGAACTTCAGGGACAGGTGCACAAGACAGCAATGAGGACTGAGGCTAGAGATAATGGAAAAACTATGTGAAAGTAGCCTTGTATGGTCCAAAACCAAGTTTGAAGTGCATTCTGCAGATGTTGAACATTTAAATTCTTAAGTGAGGTAGGGACAGTGGAATAGATCATGTTTTCAGGAAGGTAGGATATAAAGAAGAAACAATAGAGGGAACATGCTTTGTTTTTTGAATATGAAAGACTTAAGTATACTTTATGCTGAGGAAGACTATATATTTCAGCATTTTCTCACGGCAGCAGAATTATGGTGGTGAGTTTTTAGGTAAGTCTTAAGAAACCTATTTATTTCTGTACTCGTAAAATGCAAAATATATGTATATTTATATAAAATTTGTATACATATATACATATGCATCCAAACACATTGTTTTGGAGAAACAGTTACTTTAGATGTAAATAAGACACTTTATAGAATTTATAGTCTGAAGGTTTTGTAATGGGAGGTCCACTTAAGTTCTACTTTTCAAATGTCTTTTATAAAAATATTATTCTCAAATATATTTCTGGGCTATGAGATAGTACAGTGGGTAAAACACAGTGACCAGTATGTGCCTAACTGGGGTTCATTCTCTGGCACTGCATGGCCCCTCAAGTATCACTGAGTAATTCTGGAGGCTCTGAGCACTGACTGGCCTGGGTTTCCCAGGTACTGCAGGGCTTTTGTATTGAACCGCAGCGCCAAGGAGTAGCACTGTAACCCCAGAGCCTCCTGAGCACTGCTTGAAACCTACTTCCCCAACCCCTGCCACACCCACCATAAATACGATGTACAAAAATGTCCCTGCACTCAGGGAAGACTCCAGGTGGAGTTTGAGGGATCATTTGGATTGTCAGGGATTGAACCCTGGTCAACTGCATGCAAGGCAAGTGCCCTACCCATTGTACTAGCACTCTGGCTCCAAGGTCAGTTGTTAATATAGTAAAATGTAGTGTATAAAGTACATTTTATTATGAATAGTAGATAAGATAAACAAATTAATAACTCTTAAACTAGCTGCCTACTGGGAAGGAATAAATAGTAAAATTTAAGGTCGTCAGTAAAACCTAAGTTTTTTTTTAACAAAAATATTTAAAAAGCTTGATAAAATGTCTCTTATGGTTAATGAGATTATTTTAGTGCTTCATCTCCCCCCCCCACATTCATTTTTATTTTAGGTAGTCAAGCCGCATACTCCATTAATCAGGTTTCCTGACAGAAGAGACAATCCTAAACCTAATGGTAAGTTATACTTTAGGTTAAAAAGTATATATGTACGTGCATTTATAAGTCTATTATAGACAATTCCTTGTTTAAATAAGGCAGCTTTTTGTAGTCAATATCAAAATGTTACCTTGATTGCATTCAGATAGAAATTTAGCTTTTATTGCTGTCATCTAAAAGTTAATTCAACAGTGGTTGTCTCCATTTTTCAATGATACATAGTTTATGTAAGGAAATTTTAATTTTCTTCCCCCTTTCTATCTTTTAGAAGAATATCCCATGCTTATATTTGCAGAGACTGTGGAGTATAATAGTCATTCCTAAATTTCTCTCCCAGCTAATCTTTTAAAAAAAATTATTCAGGGGTCAGAGCAATAATACAGTGAGTAGGGTATTTGCCTTGCATGTAGCTGACCTGGGTTTGATCCCCAGCACCCCATATGGTCCCCGAGCACAGCCAGGAGTGGTTCCTGAGTGTGGAGCGAGGAGTAAACTACAGTGCCAGGGATGGAACCCAGGGCCTTGTATACAAGGCACGAGCTCTGCCACTGGTCCCATCACTGACCCTCCTTTTTTGTTTGAAAAGAACCGCTGCAGGTTAGCGAGATGGCTCAAAAGGCTGAGCACATGCTTGTCTCTAGGGAGCTCTTGTTTAGTCCCTGCCACCACATGTCCACTAAGCACTGAGCCGGGAGTAGCCCCCAAGCTACTCCAATCCCCCCCACCCCATGTAAATAGTCTAAAATGTAAATGCAAAGAGTTACACTATAATAGTCAGCTCTTTGAACATAATACCATTTCAAAAATAGATAAAAAGTATCACCTGAACAGTTTCTCCAATTACTTTCTGGTCTGTTTTGTTCTGGTTTTTCAGTGTCTGAAGCTTTGGGGTCAGCAGGGCTACCTTCTCACTCTTCTTCAATGTCACAGCATTCTAAGGGAAGTAAAGCACCAGACTGGCTGATGCACCAGGGTCCACCAGATACTGCAGAAATGATCAAAACATTACCTCAGAAGTACAGAAGGAAACTTGTTTCTCAAGAAGAAATGGAATTTATCCAAGTATGTTCTTGCTTTTTAGCATGATGCTCTCTAAAATACCTTAACATTTTTTGCTTTTCAGCGCCAGACCACAGGGTAGAGAGTACACATAGTACAGAGGGTTTAACCTGGCATACGGCTGACCCAGGTTCGATCCCTGGTACACATATGGTCCCTGAGCCCACTAGGAGTGATCCTTGAGTACTGCTGGGTCTACCCTGTACAAAACAAAGGGCCTGAGAAATAGTACTGGAGGTAGGCTATTTGCCTTGCATGGTTCTAACCTGGATTCTATCCCTGGTATGGTTCCTTGAGTACCAACAAGAGGAATTCTTGAGTGCTAACCCAGGGGAAACCTCTGAAACTGCCAGATACGTCCTCAAAACAAAGGGGGGAAATATATATATATATATATATTTTCGAGCGGGCCCAGTAACGTCTCCATTGGAGACTTTGTTGTTACTGTGTCTGGCATATCGAATACTCTCGGTAGCTTGCCCGGCTCTCCGTCCGAGAGGGGCGGAGGAATCGAACTCGGCTCGGCCATGTTGGCTGCGTGCAAGGCAAACGCCCTATATATTCTGTCTTTTGGAGTTGTCTATGTTGATTTACGTGTTCTTCCCACTGCCTTTCCTTTTTTCTTTTTCTACATTTTGTTGTTTTTCACAAGTAGTTACTTCCGAGTCTGCACTCAGGAAATCACTCCAGCGGGCTTCAAAGACCATATGGCATCGAATCCGGGTCGGCTGCTTGCAAGGCAAGCACCTTACCCACTGTACTCTCTCTTCAGCCCCCCCACCTACTGTCTGCAAGATGTGCTTGTAACTAAGAAATAGTTTCCAGCATTATGAAAAATAACTAAGCCAGGAAAGCTTCAGTAAATGTGCATAAAGGAATATGTACAAATGCATTGTGGCAAAATAGCTATAGGTATGTTAAATGGGAAGAAAGCTCTTTAGAATCCTCAATATGTTTTTATAAAGTATGTCTAGGGCTGGGGCTGGAGCGATAGCACAGCGGGTAGGGCATTTGCCTTGCACGCAGCCAACATGGCCGACACAGGTTCGATTCCCAGCATCCCATATGGTCCCCTGAGCACCGCCAGGAGCAGTTCCTGAGTGCATGAGCCAGGAGTAACCTCTGAGCATCGCCGGGTGTGACCCAAAAAGCAAAAAATAAAAAAATTTTAAAAAAATATGTCTAGGGCTTCTGAGTCCAAGAAATCTTAAAACTACCAGTATAGATCAACCTTGATCTTTCACATGTTAAATAATCTTTAACATGATAAGCGTGTCCCCCAGCTGTGGGGGACCCAAAATAACATTCTGAAAATTAAAGGTTATGTACCTAAAATAGTGTGAATATGAATAGTGGCTGTAAAAACATTTTTTATAAACATATCACCTAATCTTATTTCTTTTTTCTTTTTAGCGTGGAGGTCCAGAATAATCACTCAGAATGTGGCTGCTGTTTGTCTTCAGACAAAAGAATGATCTTTACAATAAAGGACTTCCAAAATGACAAATGAGAAATTGTACATTAAACAGTTTTAATAAATATTATGTTTAAAAAATATATAGAAAATTTAGAAGGACACTTATATCTCCTAACTTATGTATCATGGTCAGCTTCTCCACAAGCTTACCTAGATGTTTATATACTTTATACTTATTAAAATATACATTTTTCAATATAGCGTATTAGTTTACTGTAGTTATCAGATATTATCGGTGTTGAACTAAGAAAAGCACACACTGTCTAGTAACTATCTTAGTTTTCCCATAATTTTGCTTTTCTTTCAGCTTCTCATTAGAAACAGTTCATCAGGCAGAATCGCTGCTTTTGGAAACTGATATTCTTGAAATTTGGTGAAATCAAAAAATGACTCCATATTTGTTATTCACAAAAGTTACTCAAATACAACTGGCTTAATAAGTATATGCTACTGTAAATGATAAAATAGCCAAAGTAAGACAGGTGACTTTGTGGTATTAAGAACTAGAGTTAACATAAATCATTATGTGTAAATTTCAATCTGAAAAACAAAAATTACAGTATAAGGTGGGATATATAAGTCAAAATGAGTATAGCATAGGTATAAATGTTAACTAGAAAATTGCATTTGAGTTCTGTTTTGAGGATTATTAAGAAAGTCATGTTCTTTTTTCCATTTTATCATTTTTATTATCATGTATGCAAAGTCTGATAAGTTACTTTTCTCAAACTTAATGTCTGAAAGCTTTATAAATCAACCTAAATATTTATTTATGAAACTATTAGCAGGGTCTTCCTGTGCCAAGGGTATATATAATATTGTGAAAGTCTCACAAACTAAATAAATTTATTCCATACCTTTAATGATTTCTAGAATATGTTTTAAAGGAGTCATCCCTAATAATATGAGTAGTTCATGAATAATACAGACAGAATTCTTGTTGTGTACATTTTTATATTTGCCCACTTGCTTATGAGTTGATCTTTTAATTCAGAGTTAATTCTAGTTTCTGAAGAAGAGGGGATTGGCACCTCTAACAAATTGTTCTGGCTAAATGTTGTCAAATGCAAATATGATCTAGAGGTTTGGTGCTAGCCATAAACTGTTCTAGACATTTAGAATTCATGATTGATTTGTTTGTTGGTGTGGAAGCCACACTGGCTGTGTTCAGGGTCCATTTTCCACAGGCAAAGCATGTGCTTCAACCCTTCAGAGCATTTTCCTGGCCCCGTTGATTTATTTGGCCATCATTTAAAAATTCAGTTTGGAATTTTTCTTTGCTAGCACTATTCTCTTCACTCCTTAGCTTTCTCATTTCAACAAAAGGAGGGCAGGCGGTGTTTTGCTTTCAGAAACAGCGGGCTTAGGAAAGTGTGACTTGGGTAATAGATGGGTCAGGTAGATAGAAACTCCAGCGATGGGATCAGAAGAGTTCTCAAGACCGGTGCTTTTGCGTCACTTTAGGAGCCCTGGGTTTGATCCTGGGCAGCGCATGTTCTCCTAAGCACCAAGCAGAGTCTGGGTTAGCCACTGAGCATGGCCAGGTGTGGCCTTCCCTCTGAATAAAGCCCCTACAAAACGAAAGAAACCCCAATACTGGAACTGTCCGAGGGCTACTTTAAACTACTGAGTTACATTTTAAATTTATCATGTTTACAGAATTTGTCAGTCCAGCCATGGCAAAGTATTCTGTGTAGGGCAGGGAGAGGTAGTACAGTGGGTTGGGCACTTAGTTTACGTGTGGCTGACCCAGGTTGGAACCCTGGCATCCTATGTAGTGTCCCAAGCACTGCTGGGTGTGATTCCTGAGTGCAGAGCCAGGAATAATCCTGGAGCCTCATGGAATGTGACCCAAAAAACAAAGTATTTTACTTAGGCCTTGAGGACTATTGTTTTCCTTTAGGGATTAAGCATTTAAATATATGTAACCATTAACAAGTTGCTTAATTTGTCCAAGTGTCAGTTTCCTCTAAAGTACCAAGTAGTGTGGGGAGATAAAATTAGTGTATTGCCTACAGCTTTGTAACAAGTAACCCCAAAACTCAGTGAGTCAAAACACAATCACTAGCTCTTCTTTTCTCCAGGTCAGAAATTTTGTAGCAGTTTGGCCAAGGAGTTGACTCAAGTCTCTCATGAAATTTCATTCAGATGTCACCTGGGGTGACAGTCATCTGAAGATAGGAGAGGACCCTGCTCAAACTGGCTCATTCACATGGCTGGCAGGGTGATGCAGGCAGTTGACAGGAGTTCCAGTCCTTCTCCACATCTTCCGCTCTCAGACTGAGTGAATTCATGACATGGTAGCTGACTTGTTACAGGATCAGGAGCATGTGGTGCCAGGGATCAAACCAGGGTGGCTGCATGCAAGGCATATGCCTTAATCCTTTACTATCTCTGGTGCTTGATGGCTGAGTCATCCCTGAGCAGATGACCCTAGTGCCCAAGGCAAACGTAGCAGCACTTTTGTGAGTTAGCCTCAGAATCACACAAATATTTGTATATATCCGCTGGTCACACAGTACAACCTTTATATTTGGAGGGAGATTACATAAGCGTATTTAAGTGCAAAAATTTGTGGGGTCATCTTGGGAACTGGGTGTTACAGATGTGTGATAGGGCTGTGTAAACTGTTAAGCTATGCAGACGCTGCACGGCATTTAGATGACTGTCAGAAGGTGTAAAGATGAAGTATTTTCTGCAACATATGAGACATCTGCTTACGCACCAGTTTTATAAAGAGCCAAGTACTTATCAAACAAACTCTGGAAGTTTCCAATATACTAGCTCTAAAATGACTAATAAATTCTCAGGGCTTTTGAAATGTGTAATCATTTTAGCCAGGCAGCTACCTTACAAATCGATCTTTATTACAGACAGGGTATAGGAAAAGAAAGGTAAAATAATTTGTGGAAATGATATATCTAGTGACTACAGATAGGTGGTGCCAGTATACAAAAGACCGCGTGGCCACCCACCTACCAGATGGTCAGACTTCTTCGTGAAGATCATGAACGATCGGTTTGAGGCTCTTCATGTTCCCAGAGCGAACAGATGCCATTGGGCTACACTCGCACGCGACAGGGACGAATGAAGACATTACTGGCGCCAGCTCGAGCAAATCTATGATTAATGGGAAGTCAAGTGATCAAGTATACAAATAAATACAGTAGTCTAGATCCAGTGCAAGGATGTAGCCTTTACATTATGAACCTTGGTATTTTGTTGCCTTTAGAAGACCTATTAATATCAGGGTTCTTAAGACACTTCAAGTACTCTAGCTCAGTACCTTGTAATTATTACTGCCTAGCATTATCATTAATTCTACTCCCACAACCAATATATATACATCAGCAAATTTACCACATGGACACTTTATTTTTAAGTTCTTAATTTATTCAAAGAACCAGTGCTTTGAAAGGAAGGAGTTTGGGGATAGTAGATTTAGATGGTGGCTCTTCAGACGCAGACTGAAGTCACAGTAGTGTTTCGAATCTTGTCAGATGTACAACCACTTTACTGCTGCAATGTTTTTAACTTCCAGCATTGTGGTGAATGGGAGGTGGGGGGGTAGGAGGAAACTATAGTTTGGGATCAAACCCAAATGTCCTGCAGTGCAAAGCATGTGCTCAGCCCCTTGGGCTGTCTCTTTGGCTCCTGACCTTTCAGCTTTTCCTTGCCTCTAAGTCTAAAATATAACCTTTTATAACAGGCAGTGTTTTTTCTGTTTTAGAGTTACTGTGGGAGTGCCGTGAAACCACTCCTTGCTCCGTGCTTGGGGCAGGGGTGTTTCATTCCTGGGATTAATATATGCAAAGCATGGGCTTGTTCTTGAATTACCTCTCCAGCAAGTAAGACTAAAAAAAATTTTTTTGAGTGGCAACTATACTTAAGGATGCCTGGACCATGTGGGTGCCAGGGATCACACCCAGGATCCAGCATGCAGAGCATATGCTTTAATCCTTTGAGCCCTCTTTCCAGTTACCAGGGGTTCAATAGTGGAACTGGGCTGTTTCTGTGTATGAGGATTTCAGGTATGGGGTGGGGCTCTTAGACCTTCAGGCAGAAAGGTGAATCTGGGACCCCCATTCTGAGAAGGCCATCTATCTGGGTTGACTCTGACAGAGGCAGCTCTTTTGTCTTTCGTTCTTGCTTATTGCTCAGAACCTACAACAGAGTTTAACACATAGTAAGAACCCAATGTACATTCACCGATAAATTGGTTTTTATTTTTTAGTTTATTGTAATAAATTACGTCTGATAAATGAACACGAGTTTATTATAATAAATTAAGTCCATTAAATTAACATAGATATCTAAACTTTTTTAATCCTCATAATTACCAATCACAAAATCACAAATCATCCTGTTATTCGTCGATTGCCTCGAGCAGGCCCCAGTAACGTCTCCTTCATCCTAGCCCTGAGATTATATTCAAGGCTCTTTAGGAGAATGAGACCCATCACACGGCAGAGTCTGGCAAACTCCCCGTGGCGTACCCAATATGCCAAACACCAGTAACAATGATGGGTCTCAATTACCAATATCATCTATTATTTCCATTTTACAGAGTAGAAAACTGATGACTGAAAGTCTGTGCCATAGTATAAAATCATTCAGTTGACTAGGTTGTTTAAGGGACACACCCAGCAGTGCTCAGGGCTTACTCCTGGCTCTGTGCTGTAGGCCACAGGGACCATACGGGATACCAGGATACATTCCAACTCCAGCTCCCGATTGATTTGTTTTGCTGTATGGGATTGATTGAACCCATGATCTAACACATTCAAGTGCTTTACCACTGAGTCCCAACCGAAGCCTGTAACTAGGATGTTTCCCTGGATAACGTCTTCCTATAGGCACTGGAGTAAGAAGGCTTCTTGACTAGCCCTGCATAACTTTGTTTTACTACAAAGCTTTCATGATAGAGTTTGTCATACAGTGATCAAAAACCCATCCCTCCACCAGTGCAGTTTTCACCAATATTCCCAGTAACACCCCTAGCCTATCCCACCCCTCCCCCGCCTTTATGGCAGACAATTTCCCTCATACTCCTTCTCTACTTTTGTAGCCCTGAATAATTTAAGGTCGATCTAGGTAAGGAGCCTGCGGGACTACACGGCCAGCAGTAACCATGGCGACAGGACGCCCAAGAACCGGAAAGGGAGGTCAGCGACAAAGGCCAAGCTTTCCTCATTCGCACACAGATGTGGAATTCCCGCTAACTTAAGAGCATCGCATGCGAAATAGCAGGTAACCGCGGAAGACACTGAAGTCAACACAGCGGTGGAGCGACAAAGCCAGTTATCGCCAAGAAACACTCCGCCGCGGCCCGGGACCGGAAGTCACGTGGCGGGGCGGGTCCGCCGCGGAGAGCCAACCAGCACGCTCTCTGGGCGTCCGCGGGGCCCGCCCCGGGCCGGACGCTTTCCGCCTTAGCCCCGCCCGTTCCGGAAGTGAGGCGTCTCTAAGCTCCGCCCCGCAGCCCGCACGCCGGAAGTGGCTGTTGGGGGCCGGGACTGGGTGGCTTTAAATTCCTGCTGCTCCGCGAGCTCGCCCGTCGCCACTGGAGCCCGGCGTCGCGTCCCCCATGGCTGTGGACGTGAAGTCGCGAGCCAAGCGCTATGAGAAACTGGACTTCCTCGGGGAGGGACAGGTGAGGCGCCGAGGCGGGGCGGGGGGCCGCGGGCCGGCTTTGGCTTGGGGGGCGCCTCGGGGCCGGCCGGCTGCTCACGTCCGCGGCGAGGAGGCCCCTGTCGCCCCCCGGGCCGTGGCCTGCGGGAAGGAGCGCCGGGCCGCGGCGTGGCTGCGTCAGCGCGTCCCCCGCGCCCCCTGGCTTCGTGGCTTCCCCCAGATCGGGAAGGAC